TCAATACATTACAATTTGGAAGAAACTGAAAGATGACACTGTGACAAGGCACACAGATCTTTACCCCTTAAATACACAGGATATTGAATCAATTTTGGGAGTATGTGGAGATGGAAAAAAGCAAAAGGTCACTCTATTTTCAGAGCAAGCCAGTTGCGACTTCTGCCACATTGCGATTCCTGTAGCCACTCATCTTCCTGGAAAGAGTGTGGACATTCATTCATTGGGTGTTTAAATCACCAGGGAAAACAAGCACTGATGTAACCAGTTGTTGAGAGAGCCAACACCATTGGTAATCCTAAGATGAAACATTGGGAGCCCACACACGTGTTTTGTTTGGTCTGTATGTGCTGATACATAGGATTGTTTTCTTTTTAAAAAAAATTGAGATATAATTGACACATAACATTACATTAGTATCAGGTGTACCACACAATGATGTGTGTGTATCTTGAAATGATCACCAAAATAAATGTAGTGACCATCTATTACATATAGTTGCAATTTTTAACAAATCTTTTGGTGGGAACTTCTAAGATTTATTCTCTTATAACTTTCAAATATACAGTATTATCTATAGTCATCTTGCTGCACATGTGCTGTGCATTACATCTGCAAGGACTTATTTTTTGTAACTGGAAGATCTACCTTTTGACTGTCTTCATCCGTTTTACCCACCCTCTGCCCTGCAACCACCAATCTGTTCTCTGTAAGTCTTTTTTTGTTTTTTTAAATAAGATTCCACATATAAGTAAGATCATATGTTACATGTCTCTCTGTCTGACATTTGACTTAGCATAATGCCCTCAAGGCCCATCCATGGAGTTGTGAATTTCCTTTTTATGGCTGGATAATACTCCATTACATATATCACATTTTCTTTATCCATTCATCCGCTAGTGGACACTTAACGTTGTTTCCATATCTTGGCTATTGTGGATAATGCTGCAGTGAACATAGGAGTATATATATCTTTATTGAGTTAGTGTTTTGTGTCTTTCAGATAAGTATGCAGAAGTGGAATTGCTGGATGATCTGGTAGTTCTCTTCCTAATTTTTTGAGGAGATGCCATACTGCTTTCCAGGTGGCTGCACCACTTTACATCCCCGTCAACAGTGTACAAGGGTCCCCTTTTCTCCACATCCTCAGCAACACATTGTTTGTCTTTTTGATAATAGTCATTCTAACAGGTATGAGGTAGTAGCTAGCAATGCTGATTTGCATTCGTTTGAGTAGCTTTTCATATGTCTGTTGGCTCGTCCTTTCGTGGGTGCCTGCGGGTGATAGAGCCTCTTTGTTGTACTGGCCTGGGTTACTACAGTACTCCTTGTGATTCTCCTGAGCCTCACGGACAGCTTTGTAAATAGTCCACTCGGAAATAAGCCCTCCTTGAGGACCTGCTGTATTATTATCTATGTTGAATTTTCTGAGTGTGATCATTGAATTGTGATTGTATAGAAGAATGCCCTTGTTCTTTTTCTTTTTTAATCTTCACCAGAGGCTATATATATTAATGTGAGAGAGAAATGGTGATTGGTTGCCCAGAGAGAGGAGAAGGGAAGGAGGGAAACATCAGTGTGTGTGTTTGCCTCTTGTGCGCCCCCTACTGGGGACCTGGCCTGCAATCCCAGCATGTGCTCTCACTGGGAATCGAACTGGTGACCCTTTGGTTGGTAGGTTGGCACTCACTCCACTGAGCCACTCCATCCAGGGTACTGTTGATATTCTTGCAACTCTTCTGGGGCTTTGGAATTTTCAAAATAAGTTGTAGAAACTGTTAAACAATAAAACATGAAATACTTATATGGATAAAGAACTTTATAAAACTAATACAGTGTCAGTACTTGAACAGGCAAGTCACTGAAGGAGAAATATAGAAAGCTCTTAAAAAAATAAAATAAATAAAAGAAAAGAAATATAGAAAGCTCTTAAACAAAAGGAAGCTTGACTTGAATAATAAAGGAACACAAATTTAAATAAGCTGCCAGTGTTCATCTGTCAAAGTAGCAGAGATTCAGAACAGTGGCAATGTCCGACCTAAAGCCCAGAAGCAGAAAAAGTGGCAGCTGGGGTCTAAGCAGCGGCTGAGGTGGGAGGGTCAGAATTCAAAATGGGGAGGGTGGGGTGCCAAGCGGCAGCAGGGCTTCGGCTGGAAAGGTGAAGGAGAATGACCGTCTATGCGGAATGGGAAAAATGAAGGAGAAAAATATAAGGAGAGGAGGCGGTTGCTTTGAGCCATATCCCAATCCAACCAAAAGATATAGAGCCATCACTACAAATATGCCTTTTGATGTAAAGTGGCGGGTACTTAAATACCTGTTAAAGTTGGTGAGTTAACATAATGTGGAGCTGTTTTAAATGGATGCTGAAGGCCCTGACTGCTGTGGCTCAGTAGGTTGGGCATTCTGCAAACCGAAAGGGTGCCTGCCTATTCAATTCCTGGTCAGGGCACATGCCTGCCAGGTCCCTGGTTGGAGGTGTGCAAAAGACAATCAATTGATGTTTTGCACATCAATGTTTCTCTCCCTCCCTTTCCCCTCTCTAAAAATAAAGAAAATCTCTTAAAAATATATTACTAATAAATGGATGCTGAAGGAAGGTCAGGGCGATGTGATGTTTTTGAATTCATGATGGAAACCAGAGTGAAAGAAGCTGCTGAAGTTCTAAACCAGCACAGTCTGAGTGGGAAACCACTGGAAGTCAAAGAAGATCCTGATAGTGAACACACCAGGAGAGCAATGCAAAGGCTGGAAGACTTGGGAGCACAGTATTTGCAGCAAATCTGTATTATCAAGTTGGCTGGAAGAAACTGAAGGAAGTTAGTATGGCTGGTGTGGTGGCCATTCTTGAGGATAAAGACGGGAAAAGTCGTGGAATAGTCACTGTTACTTTGAACAGTCCATTGAAGCTGTGCCAGCTATATCAATGTTTAACGGGCAACCGCCGTTTCATAGACCTGTGCATGTGAAAATGGATGACAGGGCCTTAGCAAAGGGAGATTTTTTTCTCTCCTAAGCTTCCTCATGGACTTGGTATTGGCATGGGGTTAGGACCAAGAGGGCAGTCTTTCAATGCCAACAACCTGAATAAAGGCATTGGCATGAGAAACGCAACAGTGGGAATGGAAGGCATAGGATTTGGAATAAACAGAAGGGAAGGCATGGAGGGGCCCTTTGGTTGTGGTATGGAAAACGTGGTAGATTTGGATCTGGGATGAATATGGCCGTAATAAATGGCAGAAGGTGGAGGCAGTCTTCCTGGGACCAAGTGGATGGGCCCCAGCATTGACTGCATTGGGGATGACTGTGTGGAGCGCACGGGTGCAGGCTTGGCCGGGGCAGGGACAGATTGAGTGCGTGCAACTGGTCATTGACGGATTGGCCTCCAGCATCTAACTGAAGGGCCCACTGGGCCTCAACCACATGACCTCCTGTATTGAGTGCATGGGCCAGACACAGAGCATTGGGTCTGGTGTGGAGTGCTTGGGTGCCAGCATGGGCTTTGGTGTGGAGCATGTGGGCCCTGCCATTGAGCACATGGTACCCATAGGTTTGGAGGCTGGCCAGGAAGGGAGGGGCTCCATGATGGATTGCATGACCATTGGCCTGGAGCGCATGGGCCTGGAGTGCATGGGTCCCACCATAGGCTCGGTCCTAAGTGCCGGCATTGAGCACATGACCTGGCCATGGGTGGCAGTGGCAGTGCCAGCTTTGACCATGCCATCAAGATAGAGCATGATTGCTTTGGAGGAAGCTTTGTAGGTTCCTTTGGTAGAGCTGGAGGCCATTTGTCTGGGGTGGCCAGAGAGGCCTGCCAGGTATTTATGCGAAATCTCCCATTTGCTTTTACGTAGAAGATGCTAAAGCACAAATTCAACAAATGTGGCCATGTGCTGTGTGCTGACATCAAGATGGAGAATGGGGAGTCCAAGGGGTGCAGTGTGGTTAAGTTTGAGCTGCCAGAGGTGGCTGAGAGAGCCTGCTGGATGATGAATGGGGTGAAGCTGAGTTGCTGAGAGATTGATGTTCAAATAGATGGAAATGCTTAAGCAGCTGCCTTATTTAAACAGTGAAACCAGACCTCTGAATTTGTATTTTTTCTTGTTAACCATTTAAATTTGTTGGCTGGATGTATAAAGATGTTTTAAAAACTCAGTTGCTTTGGGGGTAATTTGAATTACTGGGGTTCCTTTTGTTTGTATTGAGGTTGCAATGTGTACAGTTTGTTTTTTTTGTAGTATGGCATCTTGTTGACATCAGATATGACTTTCATAATGAATACCAGTTCCTGAAAAGAAAGTAATATGCCCAGTGCTGATGGGGACGTAACAATTTTGATGGGAAGAGTAGCTTGGGGCCTGCCATCCTGTGTGCAGCCCGCTGGTTTCTGTGAATGCCCAAAGTCTGCATGGTCCTAGTCACAGAGGTTTCATTACTGAATAAATCTAATAAGGTAATAGGAGAAGCAAGATTGTGTGTGGAAAGCATGTACTTTGCAACACTGGTAACAGTAGCAAGAAACATTTAAGTGTCCATCAGTTGGGGTTTGGTTTTATACACAGTAGAATACTATTTAACTGTTAAATGCAATAGATAGTATAATGATACACAACGATATCCCTGATTGTTACATTAAAGTAAAAGCAGGTTAGAGAAAAATACATATAGTACTACCCCATTGAAGGTAAAATGACTACATACTATAAGCATAATTTTATATATACTGTTACAGAGGTTTTGAAAATCTGATTGGAAGACTGTCAAAAAGGTAGGAAAATTATGGAGGAGTGGTACTTACTCTTTATTTTGGATTTTTTTTTGTTTTGTTTTAAAGAAATAATAGTCATATAATAGAAAACATAACAATTTTCATTTAAAAGTCCCTGCAATCATTTTTTCTTTAATATAATTTCAGGTATGCTGTTGTGTTTATATAGTCTTGCATTGTTTAAAAAAATCTGTTAAGAAGCTCATTGTGCTGCTGTGTGTTCTCTTTTCAGAGCAGTGGAAAGAGCTCAGTGCTAGAAAGCCTCGTCGGGAGGGACCTGCTTCCCAGAGGCACTGGCATAGTTACCCGGAGACCCCTCATTCTGCAGCTCGTCCATGTTTCACCTGAAGATAAACGAAAAACAACAGGAGAAGAAAATGGTAACTTTTACCTTGAAATAAGAATTTTTATTATTCGTGGTAAAAAAAAGACAAGAATTGATTAGACAGAAATTAGTAGCTGTAGCAGAATCAGAAGTCTGAAGAGAAGTGGTATGCCTCTTTCATGTAAAAAAAAATACTTTTTCTTGTTTTGAGGAGTAAACTTGTTTGGAGTCATGCCTTTTTGATATTCAGCTTAGTAAACTGTTATGCTGTTTAATGGAGGATTTAGTGAGATACTCAGCAAACAAGAATCAGTTATTTTAAAGAAACAGTTTTTGTCTTAAGTGTTTTATCCAATTGTGTGGCACAATATTTTTGCTTTCATTTAGAATTTAAATTATATTCTAGTTTAAAGAGTTTGTTTTAAATAAGATTAAAATGACTTTGCTTTTCAGCAAACTGTTATCTCAGCTTCTCTTTTCTGATCTGACCAATGTGCCTAGGTTTTGAAACTTTTGTCCGTCCATAAGATGAATATTTTTAGAAAGTTTTGACTTTTTATTATCTTTTCTACTATCCTCTTGCTAAGACTTACCTATGTGCACACACTACTTTGATTTTTAGATCTCCTTCCCCCAAAGAGTAAAACATGGATTGTTAAGATAAGGAAATATGTACAGTCCTCTGTCACACTCCTCTGGTTAAATTGAAAATATTCTAAGAAATGCTGTTTGTATCGATCAGATTTTAAATTGCTTATTAAATATGTACCCTATATTAATAATTTCTATCAGTGAGGTTTGAAATATAATATTTAATCTTCTCTTTTTCAGTTCAGTGTTTGGCTCAAACTCTCTGCCAAATTTGGAAAGTCTGTCAAGTATCTCTAGTTATTACATGACATTGCAGCACAGGGCCATGTTTCGTTTTCGTTTGTGGGGAGCTGTGTTCATGCAGTTTCATTCTGTTTTGTAACTCTGATCTAAGATGATAATAGTATTGACGAATTGAAGTTCCTGTACTTTAATTTCTGTATATGATTTTTTTTTCACTTATTATAGGAGCACTGATGGTGGTAACTTGATCCTCTCCCTATATAATGCCCCTCCCCAGGGGAAAAGAAACCTGTAATGAACATTTACAATGACTGTATAAAGTTAATCATTGAACCAAATTAGTGAAGTTGTAGATGTTATCAAGTCATTTGGGGGGAGAGACTGCCCAAGGAAATGGGGGGGGGTTGCTTTTAGGTACCTTCTTAGTATATTATTTATTACCTTGCATTTCTAATATATTTTTGTTACTGAAATTCTGGGCCTTGGGTTTAATCATTTTGCACTAATTTATGGTCCAGATTCAAATATATAGAATCATACTTTAAGAATTTTATTCCCACTAACATTCAATTAAATTTCCAAATATCTTAAACTAAAGCTCTAATAAACTGTATTACTTTCGTTAGATGTCTTTCTTTTAACTTTTCATTTTCTTCAGTTACCTCGAAAAGGGCAGATGATGATGATAACCTGTTCACTTAGAGACCGAGGGTGAGGGCAGTGTGTCTAGAGAAGGGTGTACATTTTAGCTATAGAAGTCTTAGTTTCTCACTCTTTGCTTGTATGTCCACTCTGTTTTATTGACGTCTTTCTTGGTGGTTGGTTAATAAATCTGCATATCTCTACCTGCACTTGTATATATATTTTTTCAAGCTTAGTGCTTATTTTTTTCTATAAAATAATAAAACCTCACTTGAAATGACAATTTAGCTATCCAGAACACAAAAATGATTTTATAGATCTTGAGTACTAGATTTTTCATGTGTCTTATTAATAACTAGGACAGTTCCTTAGTTTTTCCTCAGAGCTTCTTTATCCCTGGGATGAACAGGTCTACCCAGTCATAAACCATTCTAACCCAGAGGAAATCAGAATGATGCAGAACAACATTTAGTCAGCCAGAAGAGGGTGAACCACCTGACAGCCTGGCAGAGAGGAGAGAGGGAAGAAAATGTAATCAGAAAAGCTTCCAAAAAGGAAAAAAGTCCATCTCTAACCATTTAGTACAGGGATTTATGGCCTCAGAGGGCTTTGTTATGTAACAAAGACTGAAGTTACCAATAACAGATTAATTTAAGAAGAGTCTCTTCTAAGATGACATAGAAAAATATAATCCATTATATTTTTAATTTTTTTATTTTTAGAGAGAGAGGAAGGGAGGGACAGAAACATCAATTAGTTGCCTCTTGCACACCCCCAACCCGGGGACCTGGCCTGCAACCCAGGGGTGTGCTCTAACTGGGAATCAATTCCGTGACCCTTTGGTTCACAGGCCAGTCCTCAGTCCACTGAGCGGCACCAGCCAGGGCAAAAAATATAATCCATTTTAGATAGAGATCATTAAAACTGGCTTAAAATATTTTAATGTTTAATACTGTATGTATAATTTAATTATCAGGAAAATTTACTTAACATGAGATCCTTCATTCTGCCAACTACATAGGATAATTAACACGTCAGTATATAGATTTTATTTTTAAGCTTGTCCCCTACTTCTGGCAGTGTAATAGAATTTTCTGATAAAATCTTAATAAAAACAATGTTAAAATTTTAGAGTGGGATGGTAGTTTAGTTTGAACTTTGAGTTCCAGGAGTATCTTTTATATAGTTGTAAGAAATAAATCATGCTTTCCTCAGATTTCCATTTAGACAAAATCCAAAAGTAGCATGCTGATTAAAGACCAAAATTGTTTCTGTAGTGTTCTATTCAATTCAATATATATTTCAAAGAACAGTCTCTTATGAAGCCCAATCTTAGTGAATATATACTTGTATATATTTACTTACCCTTAAGGTTTTCAAAGTGTTCAGTATGTTCTGTAGATTCTTTTTAACCAATTTATCTTTTTCATGGCCAGTTATTAGATATCTAAGGCAAATTTTTGAATAATAAATTAATTTCAATCCATTTGTGTTAGAATTAGAAACCAAAAGTGCCATAATTAGTTGTAATGGAAAATAAAAATAAATTATGGCACATGACATGCTTCATTTGTATCACTTAAAATATTACATACATCCCTCTAATTAGAATTAATTGTAATGGAAATTATATAGTTGTAAATTTTGAATAATTGAATGCTTTGTGCATTTGAAATGTGTTCAGGTTTCTGCACTTTTTTAAAAAAAGGATTAAAATATTAGGGATAAGCACTAAACTTAACATTCTGTGCTGTTTCTCTTTAACTACAGACCCTGCCACATGGAAAAACTCAAGACACCTTTCTAAAGGTTTCCTTTTTCCATTTGTCTTTGGCCCTCCTTTCCTATCATGCCTGCATGTGTGCTTACGTACTCTTCCAGGCCGTGTGCGTGGTTTTCTGCCCTTTTTGTTTGCCTATCCACATCGATGTTGCAGGTTTTAGTGGTTCTTGTTACCTTTCGGCATTTCATCAGAATGAAGGCTTTTTTGGTGGTGAATGTAATTTTTTTTTAAACATGCTTGTTAAGCCAGGCCTTTTTTATGGTAAATTCAAAACACCCCTTTGGTATGTAGTACCTGCCTCTGTGAGTTCTGTTCACCTAGATTACTCCAGTCCTCCAAGGAGTCTTCTTGGAAGAAGGTACTAAGCTTCAAGTGGGTGAGCATTTTACTTGTAAAAAGGATCCAGTTTTATTTACCTTGATTCCACCAAAGAATTGATCCACATTTTTCAATAAATATATATTTGAATGTCATACAGTCATTGTTATTTTGATTTCAGGTGGCTGATATGCATTATTCATAAACTCAGCCAATTAAGACATGTAAAGCTCTGAGTTTAGCAAAAGCAGAATAGCTGTACTTGGGAGGTAGTTTACATTTCTAGCTTCTCTGAAATATATAAAGCAAAACTTGTTCTCTTTAAGTTTTAGACCATTTGAACAGTGCCTACAGTGACTATATTTTCCTTTTTTCAGAAACAGACTTATCACTAGAAATTAACAGAGCACAGCAGTTCCATACAGGGTGTCTCCCTGCACCCCCTGTCATTGCTTTCCTACTTTCAAGCCTAGAAAACAGTCTTGGCCCTGGGGGAAAATTCACTTTGAAAGTCTATATAAATTATAGAACAGCATCACATTACTGAGAGAGCTCTTTAAAGGAACAACAAATTGTAACTTTATAGATAACCAACAGGAAACCAAGTTAAAAAAAGCAGGTTGAAAAGTTAGCTGTTTCATTCACATATTACAAATTTTTACCTTAAGTTATATGTGTGAATCTATTATATATGCTTTTTGCGTTACGCAGTAAGAGTCTGAATTTTTCTTTTTTTAAGCCATTAGCTTGACTACTTTAATCAGATAAACTACTTTTATGTCTAAGATATTTAAACTTTTCACTATAACATAATAAAGTATGAAGAGAAGTAAACAATTTTATTCATAAAATTTAGATTTCAAATGGTGGGATGACCTATGAGCAACTCTACCTACAATGAGTCATGTTTATGAAATACATGAGACCATTTTTAAATGTGAGAGTATTGGATTGGCCAAAAGGTCCCTATGGTTTTTTTCCATAAAATAAGACACATTTTCAATTTTTACCAATAACTTAATTGATTTGGATATGTTGAGTATGTTGGCTATCTCCTGCTATTGGCTTCTAGTGGGTAGAGGGCAGGGGTGCTGCTAAACATCTTCTAATGGATAACACAGCCCCACAGCAAAGAATTATTTGGCCAAAATGTCAGTGGCGCTAAGAAACTTCACAAACCACTTTTGACACGTTTGATGGGTCACAGCACCTTCTCCATGCACTGCATAAATCTTTTTTGTGTGTTTCAGTTGTATTTTGACCTTTCTTGAAATAATAAAGCATAATACACCAAAGCTGTTATGTATTTTCTTCCATCTTCATTATTAAAATGGCTGCACAAAAACTCACCAATTTTGATAAGCTTTTTTTTTTTTTTTAAAGATTTTATTTATTTATCTTTAGAGGGCAAAGGAAGGAGAGAGGGAGAGAACTGGCCTGCAACCCAGGCATGTGCCCTGACTGGGAATCGAACTGTGGTTGCTTGGTTCCTGGGCCCGTGCTCAATCCACTGAGCTACACCAGCCAGGGCTTTTTTTTTTTTAAAGATCTTATTTGATAAGCTTTTTTTAAAATGCACGCTGATATGACAACTGTCAGAATCTAACAGAATAGTTTTGAATTTAGTTAAAGACAAGTAAGCACTACTAGAGACTCTTATGGAAACATGGACTTTTTGGCCAACCCAATATAATTTAGATCTTAAATTATAGATCTTAAAATACTCATTAACTTCTAGTTAGTGGCAAAATAGGAACCAATAATGTTGTGTTGCATTTTTTAATTCTTAACTAAAGATAAAAAGTAATTCTTAGAGTTTCCAATAAATGGAGCTTTTCTTTTTCCAGGGGTTGAAGCAGAGGAGTGGGGTAAATTTCTTCACACCAAGAATAAGGTAATGACACAACCTCATGAAGAAATAACATACTGAAAAAACTTTTTGTAGTTGATAATTTAGTTCCTTATCATTGGCAATGTGGTATGTATCTTGAAGCTGCTGTTCTTTGCAAAATAAAGCTCATCTTAGCAACATTTCTAATCACAGTAGTTTATTTGGAAAATACTAAGTTAAGCTATATGCTCTCTAATTTGGAAATTCTTTTTTAAATTTTATTTTACAATTATAGTTAATGTACAATATTCTGTTAGTTTCAGGCATACAATATAGTGATTAGACATTTACATACCTTATGAGGTGATCACCACGATCAGTCTGGTTACCCACTTGGCACCACACATAGTTATTACAGTATGATTGACTGTATTCCCTAGGCTGCACTTTGTATCCCTGTGACAATTTTTACATGGAGATTCTTAACTCTTGTGGGATCAGGCAGCCTTGAGAAGCTCATATAAACTGTGATTCCTTGACTCATAAAAATATATGTATATATTAGAATTTGTTTACTAATTCTCTATAGATCCTCTATATAGCGGATCTATAGACATCCTTGAAATTTATTAACCTCCCTGCTTAAAAACTTTTTATCTTATTTTGAATATCGTTTTTTGTTTCAATAACTTTTAGCTTTACACAGATTTTGATGAAATTCGACAAGAAATTGAGAATGAAACAGAAAGAATTTCAGGAAATAATAAGGTAGGCATCTTTTTAAAGTTAGAAAGTATATAAGCATTAGTAAATCTGTTATTCAGCGTATTTTGATATAATGTGGTGAGTATTGTAAATTCATAATCTTGGTCTTTGACCCTAATAGAGTATATTTTCACAAATATATTAAAACTACTTAAGCCCTGGATGGTGTAGCTCAGTGAATTGAGCTTGGGCTTGGAACCAAAGGTAATATTCCTATTACTTTTCAATTTCTAGTCAGGGCACATGCCTGGGTTGTGGTCACCTTCCCCAGTTGGGGCCATGTGAGAGGCAACCACACATTGATGTTTCTCTCCCTCTCTTTCTCCTTCCCTCCCCTCTCTCTAAAATAAAATAAAATAAAATAACATATTTAAAAAACTACTTAAAATCCTTTTGTTTCTTAGACCTTTTACATACTGTCACATATTTCATGTAGATGTTTATTCTTGGTCTTAAAGGTCTCTATACTGAGTAAGGCTGGATTTTCTTATGAATGCCAAGAGAAATATTTTTATGTCAGCGTATATGAAAAGTACAGTCAACTCTTGAACGAACAACAGTGGGGTAATGGGACATCCTGGCACTGTGTGTTTGGGTTCCCAGTTGTGACATTGAACCTTGAAAAGCATGGGTTTGAACTGTGCATGCAGATCAGTTGAAAAAATTCATATGTACATGGAACCAGGTAGTTCAAACCCATATTTTTCAAGTGTCAACTGTAATGTTAGAAACTTTAATTTAAAAAAATTATTTACTATATTTTATCCTCATCCAAGGATATGTTTATTGACCTCAGAGAAAGGGGAAGGAGAGAGTGACAGAGTGAATTAAACACCTGGGGATAGAAGCTGCAGCCTAGGTCTATGCCTTGACTGAGAATTGAACCTGAGCCCTTTTGGTGTACGGGACAACGCTCCAACCACCTGAGCCACTTGGCCATGGCAGCAACTAAATTATTTTTTTGTTTCCTAAGATTCTGGGAATTCAAGATAAATTAGATATTTAACATACCTTTAATCTTGATACTAGGTACTATCAGACTCCCTCCTTAAATCATCTTTCCCTTATTCCTATTACTTTTCTCTTTCTTTCCTTTTTATTTAACCTCCGTTCTTATATTACCTAGAGGCACATTTAATCCTACAAGTGGGCAGCCAGCCTATTACCAATATTTAACAAATACTTGTTGAACCCTTTTACTTGCCAGATGCTGGGCTAGAAAGGTTATTTCCTAACAGACATTTTTGGAGCCATGTTAATTCTTTATGCCTATATGGGATATTTGTTTCTTTATCAGTGATTGACTCAGCTTTGTTCATTACTGAACTCTGTCAAGGCTGGTAACCTTTGAGTTACCACTACTGCTGCCATATGTTCCTGCATTTCTAACGACTGGGTTGGATAATAGAAAAGTGGCAGGAAACTAGCTTAGCTTGTCCTCAGTCCTGTAATCATATCAGGGATAATTTTGACTTTTGGGATGTTAATAATTATAACATCAGTCTGAACTAATCTTTCTTGTGATTCCAATGGATTTACTGAACTCAAGAATCGTTGGCAGTTTTACATAGTACTAGAATTCAGAGTGAATATGGTTGGCAATTCAAAGGGAAAGGTTTTAGTCACGAACTGAATGTCATGAAGGATAGAGTCCCTGCACAACCAAGACATTTAATTTATGGTGGGGATATGTCATCCGCAGTGTCCAAAAAATAAGAGGCCCCTACCCTCAAATCTTCGGAAAATCTTTCATAAATTACATTTATAATAAAGTATGTGATACTTTGATCTGCAGTAAGTAATTTTATATGTGAAAATATCTAAATCATTTCATATGGGTAACATAAAGCTTTGAAAGATTTGAAGTATCTGTGAGATTGTTGTTGTTTAGGCTTTTGGGGAAAGCACTGTATTGGGCATGATAAGGGAATGCCTGAGAAATATACAAATGAGGTAGGTATGCTGAATGCTGAATATTATTAGCCTGTAATGACTTTGGAACAGTGGTACATTAAAAATAGAAAAGTAGTTCAGAGTAATCTAATATAGCAAATACAATTGTATAGAGAATTCAGAGTAAAAGATGTTCCAATAAAGCTGTTTGGGAAATTGGAATTTTGAGTGGGTTAATGAAGGAAGACATAAGGTGGATAAATATAGTACATTTTAAAGAATAAAGAATGATGTGTAAAAAAAGACAAATTATGAACATTTTGTAACTACATGTGACTTTTTACATGTAGCTAACTCAACTCTAAAACATGTACAGGGCTAGTAGTGAAGAGACTGTGTAATAATCTTAGTGTAGGGGAGGGGAAAAATAGGGGTATTTCACACTATCCAGATTCTTTTTTGTTTTTACTATCCAGATTCTTAGTATTCAAATTCAGGGAAGTGGAGATCCAGAAAAATTTTCTGACGAATCTCTTCCAGATACACTCTTGCCACTTGATAGTTGAAGATCAGGAACCAAATTGATTTGGATAGCTTGTTTACTTTCTGAGCTCAAGGTCCTCATAAATTTGCATAGTGATACATTATTCTTTTGTTCAGCACTGTCTACTAAACGGATTTAAGAAATGGTATCTGCTTAGAATCGAGAAAAAACTGAAATACAGGGGAAGTAAGTTGTATTAGGGGTACGGGGTGCAACAAGATTGTAATGCGCTCTGTCCCTTGCTGCTTTACTGTCCGTGTGTTTCATCAGGTGTTGACTTTTGAAATGTTTTTAGGGATCATGGTTTAATTCATATTTAACAGCACCTAATATCTGTCTACTTGAAGTGAGGTTTACTTTAACATTTTTATATTTCATTGAAATTTCCATATGATTTTAATGTGATATTTTAAAACTTATTTTTAGGGAGTAAGCCCTGAACCAATTCATCTTAAGATTTTTTCACCCAATGTTGTCAATCTGACACTTGTGGATTTGCCAGGAATGACCAAGGTAAAGAATCATTGATACTCATTGTGGATTTGGTTATGTTTGTTTTCACTTGAACAAATGTGGTTTTTCCTCAACTCTATATGAGAATAATCATGTATGTATGTATATATTTGCAATCAACTTGATCTCTTAGCAGCACTTGATATATAGTTGAGCCCTTTCTTCTCCTTGGACCACTCTTAACTTGTCTTCCAGTTCCACCTCTACAGGGTTACTTCACTGGCCACTCCTTCAAGTCTCTTTTGCTGGTTTCTTATCTTCTCAATGTCTAAACAGTGAGTGTCCCAGAGCTCAGTTTTTGGACCTCTTGTTAAGGGAGTACACTTAGCCCCTCTTGTTAAGGGAGTACACTTAGCCCCTTAATGATCTCATCCAGTAGTATGGCTTTAAATACACGAGAAACTATATGCTGACAGTATTTAAGTATCTCCAGACTTGTATATTCATCTCCAGAACTGTATAGCCAACTGTCTACTTGACATATAGAACTTGATGTTTAATACCCAATTCCTGACCCATTCCTCACCCTGATTTGATCCCTCTGTAATCTTCCCCATCTCAATAAATGACAACTCTGTTCTGCCAGCTGCTTGGCTAAAAAGTTTGTGGTACCCGTCCCACACCCTATACATGTCAGCAGATTCTCTTGGCTCCTTATTTTTACAATATGTACTTCTCCCTCATCTCTTTCATTTTATAACTTCCTCTCAAATGTCATTATCTGAGTGAGGTCTTCCCTGATCACTCTGTTTAAAAGCACAATCCAATTTAAAAGTATAACGTTCTCTAATTCTGTTGCCTTCAGTTCTGTTTTCAGGGTAGCCTTCATCAGCCTCCTGCTACCTAGAAACTGTATTTGTTTGTTTACTATCTGCTTTTAACCACTAACATACAAGCTGTATGAAGACAAGAATTATTTTTATTCACAACTATGATATAATCTGACATGTAGAACAGTTTCTGCAATACTATAGGGTGTGAATACTTTGCTAATTGAATGAATGAGTGAACGTGTCTCAAAGTAATTAACATTGACCAATTGTTAACATGGTAAACTTGATATTTGCAAGAGATACATTTTGCGACTTGTACATATATACCACTATAGTATATGATTTCTTTTTAACTATCTATAAATGGAGTAATACCTATACTCTGGATAAAATGGGGAAAAAGCTGAGTCAATTTTTATTACTAGTTTCTTGCTCATCTCTGTTTGGTTTAGGTGCCTGTAGGTGATCAACCTAAAGATATTGAGCTTCAGATCAGAGAGCTCATTCTTCGGTTCATCAGTAATCCAAATTCCATTATCCTTGCTGTCACTGCTGCTAATACAGATATGGCAACATCAGAGGCACTTAAAATTTCAAGAGAGGTAGATCCAGATGGTAAGGACAGATGTTAATATTTATTGAGATGTTTGGTTAATATTGGTAAATATACCTCTTTTTCCCTGGCTGCGTGGTTAAGTTGGTTGGAGCATCATCCCATATACCAAAATATTGCAGATTTGATCTTTCTGGTCAGGGTGCGTACGGGAGGCATCAGGTCGATGTTAATCTCACACATCAGTGTTTCTCTTTTCTCTCTCCCTTCCTCTCTTGCTAAAATCAATAAACATATTCTCAGATGAGGATTAAAAAATCTATTTACTTTCAAGAAAATACTTTTTAGCCCTGGCTCATGTAGCTCAGTGGATTGAGCGCGGGCCTGTGAACCAAAGGATTGAAGTTGATTCCCAGTCAGGGCACATGCCTGGGTTGCAGGCCAGTTCCCAGCAAGGGATGCATGGGAGGCAACCATACAGTGATATTTCTCTCTCTCCTTCACTTCCCCTCTAAAGATAAATAAATAAAACCTTAAAAAATAAGAAAATACTTTTTAATTTTAAAAGAAATAGCTCTGGCTGTTCATACATTGTAAAAATAATACTTTCCTATTTTGCTTATAGTTTCAAATAGAAATTCTGGTGGAAAAATAAAGTTTTAATAAATTTCTGTACAGGCTATGCAAAAATACTTTACCGTAATGTCCATATTTGTAAATGGTTACCTCATTTAAAAATATGATGGCTTTGCAAAAAGAGTTTCTTAGTGTATTGGATTGGCCAAAAAGTCCATATGGTTTTTTTCCATAAAATAAAAACCAAAATTTTCATGTTCATCAATAACTTTATTGATTTGGATATTTTTAGGATGTTGGCTATCTCCCGCATGGTATAACATTGATTGTTCTCAGTTAAAGTCTCAATTTGATCACTACCAACTTCAACTGGTCTACCTGACCATGAAGCATTGTCCAGCCAGAAATCTCCAGCATGAAACTTTGACATGTTCAATCAGTCAGCACCTTCTCCATTCACTGCACAAATCTTTTTTCTGAGTTTCAGTTGCCTGTTTACCTTTCTTGAAAAATTAAGCATGATAGGCCAAAAATGTTGCTTATTTTTTGCATTGTCAATATTAAAATGGCTACAAAAATTCACCAGTTCTGATATGTTTTTTAAAAAATGCACACTGATATGACAGCTGTCATGAGGCAACCTAACAAAATTTTCAAGTGAAGTCGAAGACAACTAAGTGCTGCTAGAGTCATGTTACAGAAAAAAACGAGAACTTTTTGACCCACCCAAAAAATACTTATGAGAATAATTAACTCCAACAGTAGATAATTGTAGATTATTTATATTTTAGTAGATAATTATGGTACCTACATTCTTCTGAGGTATGAAACATTTAGATGTTCTCAAAAGGGGAGATTTTTAGAAACAAAGGTAAAATCCTTTTATGAAGCATTTGTAACCCCAAGGGTTAGTTCAGACTGTGGGGTCAGTGTATGATACTTGACTGATGCTATAGTGTGCATCTCTTAATATATTTAACATACCAGCTGGTGAGAGGGTAGTTAGTATTGCTGCTAAGAAATACATGCTTTGCTCCACACAGGAGACAGTTTTTTTTACTTAAGTATTTGGAGGGTCAGTGGGCTCTTTGAAGAAGAATTTCAAATAAAAATTTGATAAGAAATGTTAGTCCTAAGACTGCTAATTAGAATTCCTATAAACAGACATTAAATTTTTTCTTTTTAAAGATTTTATTTATTTATGTTTAGAGGGGAAGGGAAGGAGAGAGGGAGAGAAACATCACTGTATGGTTGCCTTTCATGCGTCCCCTGCTGGGAACTGGCCTGCAAGGAGCCAGCCTGCAACCTGGGATGTGCCCTGACTGGGAATCAAACCGCGATCGTGTGGTTCGCAGGCCCGCACTCAATCCACTGAACTACACCAGCCAGGCGTAAATTTTTTTAATTTGAAGTTTTTAAGAAACTTTTGCCCTGGTTGGTATAGCTCAGTGGATTGCAGGCCAGGTCCCCAGTAGGGGGGTGTGAGGGGCAACCACACACCAAAGTTTCTCTTCCTCTCCTTCTCTCTCCCTTCCCCTCTCTCTAAAAATAAATCTTAAACCCTATTTTATTAGCAAGTAATTAATGTTCATTTTAAATTTAAATTAAAAGATAAACTATACCAAGAGATTTATTTATTTTTTAAAAATATTTATTTATTTTTAGAGAGAGGGGAAGGGAGGGAGAAAGAGAAGGAGAGAAACATCAGTGTGTGGTTGCCTTACACATGCCCCCTACTGGGGACCTGGCCCACAACCCAGGCATGTGCCCTGACTGGGAATTGAACCTGTGACCCTTTGGTTTGCAGCCCAAACTCAATCCACTGAGCTACACCAGCCAGGGTCCAAGAGATTTATTTTTATTTTTTATTCATAGCAAACTATTAAGCATTTTATATGGATTAATTATAATTTAAACAGACCTGTGAGCCATAAATATGATCATACTTTTTTTTAAAAAAAGATTTTATTTATTTTTAGAGAGAGGAAAAAGGAGGGAGAAAGAGAGAAACATCAATGCACAAGTGAAACATTGATTGGTTGCCTCCCTCACACCCCCAGCTGTGGACTGGCCTGCAACCCAGGCATGTGCCCTGACGAGGAATTGAATCAGCGACCTTTTGGTTTGCGGATGATGCCTAACCCACTGAGTCAGACCAGTCAGGGCCATACTTTTGATCTAGAAATCTTAATATATTATTAAGAAGTAATATAATCTAGCATTACAGTATCAAAAAATTGGAATCAACTTAATATATGACCCACAGTAAGAATGATTAAGTAGATGAGTATAGAAAATTAAATCATTAAAAAGGATGACTTTGTAGATTTGGAACAAATAGAAAAATGCTTTTAATTGAAAATGCCATGTGTAAAATTGGACACTGGGCAGAGCAGCAGCTGGAACTCTCATACGTTGCTGGTGGGAATGGTATAGCCAGTTTGGGAAACAGCTTGTCAGTTTCTTAAAAAGTTAGATCAACACTAGGTAATTAACCATGTTAAAAGAAAACCCATGTTCATATAAAAACCTGTATTCCAATGTCTGTAGTAGTTTTAATTATAATCTGCTAAAACTGGAAACAACTCAGATGTTTTCAAATGGGGAATGAATAACCAAACCATAGTATTGGGTTGGCCAAAAAGTTCGTTCGTGTTTTTCTGTAAGATGGCTCTAGTAGCACTTAGTTGTCTTCAACTTCACTTGAAAATTTCGTTAGGTTGCCTCATGACAGCTGTCATATCAGTGTGCATTTTTAAAAGAACTCGTCGATACTGGTGAATTTTTATAGCCATTTTAATATTTAAGATGGAAGAAAATAAGCAACATTTTTGGCGTGTTGCGCTTTATTTCAAGAAAGGTAAAAAGTCTATTGAAACTCAGAAAAAAGATTTGTGCAGTGTATGGAGAAGGTGCTGTGACTAATCGAATGTGTCAAAGTGGTTTGTGAAGTTTCGCTGGAGATTTCTGGCTGGCTGATGTTTCACTGTCAGGTAGACCAGCTGAAGTTGGTTGAGATCAAATTGAGACATTAACTGAGAACAATCAATGTTATACCATGCAGGAGATAGCCAACATCCTCAAAATATCCAAATCAATAGTTATTAATGAACATGAAAATGTGTCCTTTATTTTATGGGAAAAGCCACATGGACTTTTTGGCCAATGCTTCATATCCATACCACGGAATACTATTCAGCAGTAAAAGGGAATGCACAATTGATAAATGCAACAACATGGATAACTCTCAAATGCATTATGCCAAGTGAAAGAAGGTAGATTCAAAAGGTCATGTATATAACTCCATTTATATAACATTCTGGAAAAAGCAAAGCCAGTATGAAAAATGGGTTTGATTGGATAGTATAAGAAAAATTGGGGCATAATGGAACTTTGTCTTGAGGTGTCAGTGATAAACTCTTTCTACTTGTTAAAACTCATAGAACTGCCCTGGCTGGTGTAGCTCAGTGGATTGAGTGCAGGCCTGTGAACCAAACTACTGTGGTTCGATTCCCAGTCAGGGTGCGTGCCTGGGTTGCAGGCCAGTTCCCAGCAGGGACTGCGGGAGAGGCAACCATACATTGATATTTCTCTCCCTTTCTCCTTCCCTTCCCCTCTAAAAATAAATAGATAAAACCTATGAAAACTCATAGAACTGTACACCAGGAATGAGTGAATTTTAAACAGATTTTAAAATGCTTATTAAAAAGTTAGCCCTGAGAGCTAATAAAAATTTTTATGCGAAATTAAAAAACCATACATGATTAAAATTAGATTTTAAAAGTGTTCATAAACAAAGGTTAGAAAAGCATTATTGCCCTGGCTGGTGTGGCTCAGTGGATTGAGCACAGGCCTGTGAAGTGAAGCAAGGCGTCGCCGGTTCGATTCCCGGTCAGGGCACATGCCTGGGTTGCAGGTCAGGTCCCCAGTAGGGGACACATGAGAGCCAACCACACTTTGATGTTTCTCTCCCTCTCTTTCTCCTTCCTGTCCCCTCTCTCTAAAAATAAATACATATTTTTAAAAAAAGCATTATCAACCCTGGCTGGGGTAGCTCAGTGGATTGAGTGCGGGCTTGTGAACCAAACAACCATGGTTCGCTTCCCAGTCAGGGCACATGCCTGGGTTGCAGGCCAGTACCCGACAGGGGATGCACGAGAGGCAACTGTATCTTGATATATTTCTCTCCCTCTCTCCTTCCCTTCCCCTCTAAAGATAAATAAAATTTTTAAAAAAGAAAAAAAAGAAAAGCATTATCAAACTGATGAGAAGAGGTAGTCTTCAGCAGGATTATAGATGATAAGTTTTCTTTATTCTTAAGAGCTTCGTTTACTGGGTCATTTTTTTCTTTTTTGCATTTACCAGGTCGCAGAACTCTCGCTGTAATCACTAAATTGGATCTCATGGATGCGGGTACCGATGCCATGGATGTGTTAATGGGAAGGGTTATCCCCGTCAAACTTGGAATCATTGGGGTAGTCAACAGGTTAGCAATCAAGAACGAGCTGAGAACTGCAGCATTTTCCTTTCAAAGCAAATCTGAAGTTTTAAAATAATTCTGACATGGAATAGTGTCCCTATTTTTTCCCCTTTTACTATCATCTTTGTACTGCTAAAGTATTCATTGCTCTGAGCAGAGAAGAGAGATTCGTGAAAACCTTTTGTAGGCAGCAGTTTTCAAAGTAAGCAGTGCCACGAAACGGAAGGAAACTTAATAGCTCGGCTCAAAACATTCCAGCCTATTATGTTATATATGAAGATGGCACTGGATAAGAAGGGGAAAGTATTATGTAATTTATACCCAATCAAGAAAGTGTTTGTTAAGGTGGCAGGATATTAATAGATTGGTTTAACTTCTAGCATTAGTGATTCCATATAATTGCCAGGATGTGACTTTTATTAAACATACCCTAATTATAAGTGGCTGGTATTAAAAATTATGGAAAGGAAAGGGTGTCATTATGTTTTAGATACTCTACTGTGATCAGTTTTCAAATGGTGTCTCTTTGAACCCTTATAACATCCCTGAAGTAGGAGCTGATGTCCATTTTATAAACAGAAAACTCAAGTTTTATATTTACCAAAGTCTTAATAAAAGTCAGAAGCACTGAACTGGTCATATCACCCACAAAGTAGGTATAACATGGGTTTAAATGACACCTCATGTTTTGTGTCTCAGACCTTTTAAAATTAAAATGTTTTATTAAGTATCATCTAAGATCCACTACAGCTGTCTGCTCCTATTCATGTGTCTTCCTACCTCATCCGAACTCCAAACTTTCTCTTGAAATTCCCACTACTGATTGCTCTTTACAGGCAAACAGGTGGTGTGTGTAACACTTTCATTTGTAGATGACTGCTGGTCAAGTTAACTTAATTATTTTTGCTAGAAATTAGTTGCCTGCCCACAGACAAAATATTTTTTCACATGTTCATCCTTTTACTTAAGAGTAAATTTATAACTATAGTTAATGGTAATGAGGAGTCGTAAACTGTTTAGGCTTTACTTGGTTTGTCACGTGGTTTGAATCTTGGCTGAACTACTCAATATGTGACCTTTGGTAAGTTGGTTAATCTCCCTGAGTGTAGGTCTTTACTATAAAATGAGATAATGCCTACCACAGAGAATTATTGTGGGAATTAAATAAAAACGGTCCATGTTAGGCATTACGAACAGTACCTGGTCCTTCTGTATCATCATCATCACCACCATCATTGTCCAAGGTGCATAGAGGACCACATGGACTTCAGCTGAACATTCTTTTTATTTTCACCTGCAGGAGCCAGCTAGATATTAACAATAAGAAAAGTGTAACTGATTCAATCCGTGATGAATATGCTTTCCTTCAAAAGAAATACCCATCTTTGGCTAACCGAAATGGAACAAAATATCTTGCTAGGACTCTAAACAGGTAATGAAACCCTTGGAAAATGGTATGTTTTTTGTTTGCCAGTAAGTATTTGAGACCTTTCATTTTCAGTTCCTTATATTTTCCTAATGTCCTTGCGTGTACAACTTCACTTTCTGTTTCTTATACAGTAGGTTCTTGTCCTGTAGAGGTCAGTTTTTATTGGGGTGGTTGGCATTAAATATCATGTAGTCTAGGAATGCCACAGTGAATTTTAAAATGTCCAAATTACAACATTCTTGAGAGTCAGTTTACTTTTGATGATAGTACTAGATAGCTGATGACTTCAGTTAAACTTTGGATTTCAGGAATTGAATTAATATTTCTAATTTTCATATAATCTTTTCTTAATTTAATGTCTTTTATTCCTATTCATAAAGGTAATTTAAGTTACATACCTTAAATTCTGAATACCTACAAATGAAATGGTAGAGGGACTGGAGTACCTTTCTAGATAATTTATAATGAATGAAGTTAAGGCTATTTTTACTTTTGTCTTATGCCCTAAATAAATTAAAGGCTGATGGTCTTGGATTTTTATAGGATTTTCACTATGCTGAGGACCCATTGTAAAAGATAAGTCAGGAACCAAAATTGTGTAGGTAAAATTGGATTGAGTAGCTTCCTTTCTCTGAGGTAACTGCAATAATTTAAATTAATTTTCTTCAACTTGTATGTTGTTCTCTAGCAACTGCTATAATTTGATGGGTTCAAAGTGAATATAAAAAGTATTGATCAAGACAGCTTCCTTCATATCATTTTCTTTCAGACTTAATTACCCTCTAAGATTGCATCATTTCCTGCCAAGGCATGTTATTTGACAGGTTTCCTATTATTTGCATTTTTAAAATTTGACCTGTTTGGTTCTTCAAAATACACAATTTTACTTTCAAATCCTTTTTAATCTGTTAGGTTACTGATGCATCACATCAGAGACTGCTTACCAGAGTTGAAGACAAGAATAAATGTTCTAGCTGCTCAGTATCAGTCTCTTCTAAATAGCTATGGTGAACCTGTGGATGATAAAAGTGCTACTTTACTCCAGCTTATTACCAAATTTGCCACAGAATATTGTAACACTATTGAAGGAACTGCAAAATACATTGAAACTTCAGAACTGTAAGTAAGACATTTCTCTGTCAACTTGGCTATTGGATTGATAGGTTACTTTATCTTTTGTTACAGTGACAAAGGTACTCCAAGATTATCTGTGATTTATTACCTATAAAACAGGAATATTATTTTGTAGGAATGGTAGGATGATATCTTGTAGAAATGGTAGGATGTGTGTGTTAAAATTCTTTATAAACTATGTACAACACAGTAAAAATTTCAGATATTTTTTCTAAGACTTTAATTGATGAGCACTTAAGAATATTTCATAATTTAACTTTTAAAATACTTGTTGTACCCTGGCTGGTATGGTCAGTGGACTGAATGCCAGCCTGCAAACCAAAGGGTCGATTCCCAGTCAGGCCACATGCCTGAGTTGTAGGGCCAGGGCCCCAGTAGGGGGCATGTGAGAGGCAATCACACATTGATGCTTCTCTCCTTCTCTTCCTCCCTCCCCCCTCTCTAAAAATAAATAAAATCTTTTTTAAAAGTTTGTTGTTTCTTTAATATGCACTGTATAACTGTTCATGAAAAAAATAATAAAATATATATAAGAAAAAGAATAAAGCATAAGGACAAAATTATTTTTAATTCCATCATCCAAAAGTAAGACCTGCTAATTTTGGCATTAATCTAGATATTTTTATGCATCTGTAAAATATAAATATGCTTGTATTGCCCATCTTTAAAAACAGGGTGCTATACATGTTATTTTGGAATCATTTCTTAAACCAACATGTCATAAACAATATTGTACATTTGTAATATCAATCTTAAGGTTTACATAGAGTTTTATTTTTAGATATATTATCATTTGTTGAATCAGTCCCATACTATTGATAGTTTGTTTTCAGTTATACACAAATATAAACAGTAGTGCTGCCATTGACTGTCTTTGAGACACGTATCCAAGTAAGTCCTTAGGATAAATTCCTAGAAGTGGAGTTAGGAGATCAAAGGATATAACATCCTCAAAGTTCCTTATTATTGTCATACTATTAATAGATTTACTGTTTTATTTTTATTTTTTTTTACATTTTAAGGAAGAGTGAGTTTTTTAAAAATATTTTATTTATTTATTTTTAGAGAGAGGGGAAGGGAAGGAGAAAGAGTGGGAGAGAAACATCAATGTGTGGTTGCCTCTCATGTGTCCCCTACTGGGGACCTGGCCTGCAACCCAGGCATGTGCCCTGACTGGGAATTGAACCAGCGACCTTTGCTTCACAGGCCCCTGCTCAGTCCACTGAGCCACACCAGCCAGGGCTACTGTTTTATTATTTATAGTATTTAACAATGTCTATTTCTCTAAATTCTATTAAAAAGATCTTTTCGTTTGAAATAATTTATTTTTTATTTTTATTTATTTTTTTTCATTTGAAATAATTTAGACTTCCGGGAAGTTACAAATGAATCCCCAGAGTGGTCCTGTTTACCCTTCAACTTGTTGCCATCTTGCATAACTGTAGTACAGTAACAAAATGGGAAAGTAAAATTTGGTACAAGGTGTAGTAGCTCTTACTAACATTCACCAATTATACACATATTTATTTATTTATTTTTAGAGAAAGGGGAAGGGAGAAAGGGAAAGAAACATCAATGTGTGGCTGCCTTTTGCACACCCCTACTGGGACTGTAGTCCATAATCCAGGCATGTGCCTTGACTGGGAATCAAACTAGTGACCCTTTGGTTTACAGGTTGGCACTCAATCTGCTGAGCCACACCAGGAGGATATTTTTTTTTTTAAGATTTTACTTATTTTTAGAGAGAGAGGGAGAGAGGGAGAGAGGGAGAAAGAGCGAGAGAAACATTGATGCACAAGAAACCTGGATCGGTTGCCTCTCACATACTCCCAACTGGGGACCTGGCCTGCAACCCAGGCATGTGCCCTGACTAGGAATTGAACCAGCGACCTTTCACTTTGCAGGATGACATCCAACCCACTGAGCCACACCTGTCAGGGCAGTTCTATGTATTTTTGTGTGATCCTAGTGGCCATTTTTGTGATTTAACTCTATAAAGTGATAGACTACTTAACAAACTAATTGTTGGATGGTTATTATATGTATGGCATATTGAAGAAAATAAATATTACTAAGATGAGCCTTTAAAGAGTTTAGTAAGTGAGGTAGGTCAAGGTAACATGATGCTTGGTTAGGTGGCAAAAAGGAATATAAATCAAGTATTTTTTATTTATGTACTTTGTATTAAATACGCTACATAGCCAGAAAAGTGCATGTAACATACACAGAGTTTTATAAGCAGGTAATAAACTACCTCATCAAGCCTTTAGAACACTGAAGAGAGAACCATTTACACTTCTTTGAGGGACTGAGAGGGCTCCCTGGTTAAAAATGCATTTGTGTTGGGCCCTGAATAGAATTTGGGAAAGCAGTAAGTAGAAGGGTGTTTCAGGCTTTGGAAGAGCAAAGAACAGTCCAAGGTGTATTTAGAGAGTAGCATGTAGAGTGACGGGACGTAACAGGATAGTAAGGCATGAAAGGTGTCTAAGAACAGTATTGTGAAAAGTCGATTATCTTTAGAATTTATAGAACTTCTTAGTATAAAGAATACTGTTGGTCAGAGGGGTAACTGTTTTAGAAGGATAATTCTGGTCTTTATGAAAATTATTTGAAAATGGAAAGGTTGGAGGCAGAAATACCAGTTACTGGTAATTCGAACCATTTTTAAGTGTATAATTCAGTGGTATTAATTATATACACAATATCGTATAACCATTAAATAGTATCTATTTCCAAAGTTTCTCATCACCCAACAAAAACTCTGTATCCATTTAAGTAATATTTCCTCGTTCTCCCCTGTACCAGCCCCTGGTACCCTCTAATTTACTTTCTGTCCCTATGAATATGCCTGTTCTATATACAGGGAAACATATCATAAATGTCCTTTTGTGTCTGTCTTATTTCACGTAGCATAATATTAGACCTGAACCTTTTGCCTAGACTACTCTAAGGAAGTAGTGAATAGTGATGGTGAAAATAGAAAGGGATTACTTGGGAAGACAAAGATATTTATAGAATTTGGCTGCACTTGAATCAAAAAGTAAAAGATAACACTAGCATTTCTAATCATTAAAATAAGAAATATGAGATGCTTAGTATGCAGCCATTTAATTTTTTTTAAAGCAGGTGTAGGCAAACTGTAGTCCATTGGTTAAGAATGATTTTCTTTGTGTGTTTTTACATGTTTAAAAATTTTTTAAACAAAGTTCATATTTTAGTGTGCGTGAGTTTTACTGGAACACAGCTCTGTTTGTTTCTGTGTGATATGTGGCCGCTTTTGTGCTCGATGGCAGAGTTAGCTGAGTAGAAGAAAAGTAGGGCAGGGAAAAGATGCCGACTAGTTCTCAGAGCTGATGTTTCCTGGGAGAACAGTTACTGTGTGTGCGTGAGAGACAGACAGACAGACAAACATGGAAGCGGGGGGTGGGAATAGAGAAAATTCTTTTAATGAAATGACTCCTTTCCTCATTTTAGACAAATATCAGAGAAACTGGTTCACGGTGGAGTTGAGGACACATGGAAATGGGAGTGGTCTAAGTGTAACTGTTTATCTGAGACTCTCAGATGACGAGTCAAGCTTAAAGCTCATAGAAAAACTTCTATCTTGCAGCTTCTTTTAATAATACTAGATGGCATATACTTCATTGTCATTACCTTTCAGATGCGGTGGTGCTAGAATCTGTTACATTTTCCATGAGACTTTTGGAAGAACCTTAGAATCTGTTGACCCCCTAGGTGGCCTTAACACTATTGACATATTGACTGCCATTAGAAATGCTACTGTAAGTATGTTCAACTCAGAATTTTTTGAAATGAGGCTAAACCTTTCATTTTTTAAAACCTATATTGTACAGCTTATTATTTTGCACTCATACATCAAATTGGGAAGCATTTTCATGAAAAAAAAACCGAAGTGATTTATTTCAACCTTTGGGAAGAAATAAAATTTTATGTAGCTATAAGACCTCAAAATTGAACTTTTTTAGGGTCCTCGTCCAGCTTTGTTTGTGCCTGAAGTTTCCTTTGAGTTACTGGTCAAGCGGCAGATCAAACGTCTAGAAGAGCCCAGCCTCCGTTGTGTCGAGCTGGTTCATGAGGAAATGCAAAGGATCATTCAGCACTGTAGCAATTACAGTACACAGGTAACGAGAAGTGTAACAGGCTTCATTCAGATTAGGCAGTAAATGACATGAGGTAGCAATTTCACAGGGAGGGAGGAAATAAATAAAATGGGCTAAAAGTTAAAATATGTAGTTCCCTATCTAAAAGTGATTTGGCATAATATACTTAAATGTAGCTTCCAAATCTAATTCAGTATTTTCAGTGATTATGTAATTTCACTTTAAACAAAATGGATTGTTTTTTCTTTCTTCTACCATGTAATAGGAGCTATTGCGGTTTCCTAAACTTCATGATGCTATAGTTGAAGTAGTGACTTGTCTTCTTCGTAAACGGTTGCCAGTTACAAATGAAATGGTGAGCTGTTTTTTCACAAATCATCACTGTAGTTGTACAGCATTTTGATTAGAGTTCAGGCATAATGTTTCCCAATGTATTGGGAAGAAAAAAAAGTGGATTTCGGTTTTATTTCAAAGGAAACTTTAATAATTCTGATACAAAATGTGTTTTTCTTCATATTTAATCATTGTTAGTCTGCAGCCACGGGTTTTCACGAGAAGGGAATTATTGAGGTTTGTGAATAGCTTTGCTGTTAATGTTGGAATGAACACTGATCTAATGGCAAATTAGTTTTATCTTCAGCCTCAGTAAGCTGAGCTTTATAGCAAGCTCTCATTTTAACTCTGATGTACATCAAGATAATTTGGCCATTTCTACAGTTTGTTTGATGACCTAATACTTTAATATCATGGTTTCTTACTTTTGTGTGTTGCTGCTGTCCTTAAAAATAAAAATGCTACAATTTATCATCATGTCTCTAATTGTTGGCTGAGGGTTTAAAATTTTTTTATTGATTACGATATTACAGTTTTCCCAATTCCCTCCACTTTATCCCCCTCCAGCATTCCCTCCACTTAGTTCATGTCCATGGGTTGTACATATAAGATCTTTGAGTCCTCTGTTTCCTATGCCATTTTTATCTCTCCCGGTCTATTTTATGCCTACTAATTATGTGCTTCTTCCCTGTACTTTTGCCCCCCTATTGCTCCCTTCCTCCTCTGAACTGAAATACCTCTGTGTGATGTCCATTTTCTTTGATTCTGTTCCTGTTCTGGTTGTTTGCTTAGTTTTTATTTTTGTTGTTTTTTTTTTAAAGTTCATTTGTTGGTAGTTGTGCGTTTGTTGTCATTTTACTATTCATATTTTTTATCTTCCTCTTCTTAGATAAGTCCCTTTAATACTTCATATAGTAATGGCTTGGTGGTGATGAACTCCTTTAACTTGACCTTATCTGGGAAGCACTTTATCTGTCCTTTCATTCTAAATGAAAGTTTTGCTGGATAGAGCAATCTTGGATGTAGGTCCTTGCCTTTCATGACTTTAAATACTTCTTTCCAGCTCCTTCTTGCCTGTAAGGTTTCTTTTGAGAAATCAGCTGGCAGTCTCATGGGCACTCCTTTGTAGGTAACTGTCTCCTTTCCTCTTGCTGCTTTTAAGATTCTTTATTTTTAATCTTAGATAACTTAATGATAATGTGCCTTGGTGTGTTCCTATTTGGGTCCAACTTCTTTAGGACTCTCTGGGCTTCCTGGACTTCCTGGAAGTCTATTTTCTTTGCCAGATTGGGGAAGTTTTCCTTCATTATTTGTTCAAATAAGTTTTCAGTTTCTTGCTGCTGTTCTTCTCCTCTGGCACCCCTATAATTTGGATATTGGAACATTTCAGGTTGTCCCAAGGGTTTGTAAGAGACTCTTCACTTTTTTGAATTCTTGTTTCTTCATTTTGTTCCAGTTGGATGTTTCTTTTGTTCAAAATTGTTGCTTTGATCCCTAGTTTCCTTCCTGTCACTGTTGGTTCCATGAATATTTTCACTTTGGGTATCCTTCATTTATCCTTCATTTGTTTTTTCATTTTTTGACTAAGCTCAATCAGTTCTGTGAGCATTTTGATTACCAGGGCTTTAAATTCTTCATCAGATAGATTGGCGATCTCCTCCCCTCTTAGCTCTCTTTCTGAGGCTTTACACTATTTTTAATTTGGGTCATATTTCTTTGTCTTGGCACAGCTTATAAGTTGTAAGGGATGGAGCCTTAGGTATTCACCTGGGTGGGGCAACCCTCCTTGCTGCGGCTGCACTGCCTGTGGGGGAGGGGCCAGAGAGGGAACAGTGTGGTCCACCTGCTCATCTCTAGCGTACTTCCTAAAGGATTGTCGCTTGAGACTGGGAGTTTCTCTCACTGCGGTGGCTGCCGTAGCCCACAGCCACCTGAGTCCCCTTAAGTCAGCCCCTCCCATGCAGCCCATTGAGCTCAGCAGCCAGCCGTCCCCATGGTCTGCCGAATTGCGGAGATTATTCTGAGTTGGCCCGCAGGGTCCGCCATCTTACCAATCTGGTTGCTTTGGTTGATTTTGTTCTTTAATTCCTTGGTTGTCAGAGTTCCATACAGTTTGATTTTCTGGCGCTTTTGGTTTATTGCTTTTAGATTGGTTATCCTCCTTTTGGTTATGTGAGGAAGCGAAGGGTTTCTACCTATGCCTCCGTCTTGGCCAGAACTCTGAGGTTTATTTTTTTGTTTTCCTGCATTTGGGTCCTTGGATCAGGATCCTGAGCCCCAGTGGAGGTTTATTAAGAGGACAAAACCTTCCTTGGAAGTAGAGGATGTTAAGTGCTGCTGCTTAGTTATTTCCCAAGCAGTCATGACCCTCCGATGCTCTCAGGGTGCACCTGCGCATGTCACAGAATTATCACTGACTTTCATTTGAACAGCTCCTTTTCATCTAGTTCTTGACCTTTTAGTGCTATTCTGATTTGTTATGAAGAAGTTACTTTAATCTCTACAATGTTGGTGAAATTAATTTCAGCTTTCCTTTTTGATTATTGTCCACTAGGGTTTTGAGCCACATGTAATATATAAACCAGGTACTTCATAATTAATGTTACTCCGTCATTACTTCAGATCTTTAAATCTGTCCTTCACCTAAAGTTATTGTCTTTATATTTGATTATGAGATGTTTTCTTAATGTTGAACCTGACCTAAAACTTTGACATGGAATAATGAATGATCTGAGGTTTTAATACCAGACTGGCAGTAGCTTTGGAACTTAGATTTGCTTAAGGTAGACAGGGTGGTAGATATTATCTACCACCTTAGTGTCATCTCCCCCCTTAGAAATGCAATCTCAGATGCTGACATAGAATAGTTCAAAAGATAGAGCAAATTATTATAGTATTTGGCATAAGATTTATCAGTTCGGGTATGATTGTCAGATATTTATTTAGGTATCAGTTTCCTGTAGTGTCTTATTTAGAATTACCTGATTAATAAGTTATATACATAATTTCCTAAAGTAAAATTTGGTTGATATATTTTTATAGCCTTATTTTACTTTTTTCCTAGGTCCATAACTTAGTGGCAATTGAACTGGCTTACATCAACACAAAACATCCAGACTTTGCTGATGCTTGTGGGCTAATGAACAATAATATAGAGGTAAATATAACTTAAATGACCTTTTTTGAGAGATGAAAATCTGTTACAACTCAGTTATATTAAATATATTAAGCATGGGATGACTATAAAACATACATGTACCTTATTATTGTCTGTTATATGCTAAGAAGTATGCCAATGGCATTATATTCTTAAATTTGATTCTCAAAACTACCTGGATGAATTTTCTGTTCATGAAACTGTAACTTAGACTCTGCTTATGAAACTGAGAGAATCTGGGATTCAGTTAGTATTGAAGGACTGCCTGGCTCCATTTCGGTAACTGTTGTTGCAGTTTATTCAGGTTGAAGTGCGTAAAACAGTGTTTAAAATTGTTTTCATTCAGCTCTGAAAGCTGTGAAGGAGACATTCTAAGAATTACCTACATTATAGTAAATTTGGAAAAGTAGAGTGCTCTTTTTACTGGGGTGGCTGCATTTCATGGGTCTTTTCTTCCCATTTGAGGTTAATGTTGCAAGTTTCATAAGATCTCAGATGGAGCCAAGGCTGGTGGATAGAGCAATTTATCTGATGCTTTTTTTTCTCTGCCACTTTTATCCAAGAACAGTACATTTTTCCGCTACTCCTTAATACAGTAGGACCTCAGAGTCCCCTTCTATATCAAATTTCCTCTTGTGCATATGGATGGAAAGAATATTGTAAACATGGAATTTGGGAACTGGAAGGGACCCTGGGTTATCGACCGCAGCCCTTTGGTTAACTAACAGATGAGGAACCTGAGACCCACAGACGGTAACAGCTGTTGCTTTAGTGCTTATTTTGCTGGGCACTGTTGGAAGAAACGAGCACCTTCTCTTTAACAGGTACAGGGAACTGTTTGTTAGCTACATGGCTGAAGTGACTCCTAATGTCAGAAAAAATCTAAAATGACTGAGTAAGACACTTAACACTGGGAAAGTAGACTAGCTAACAGTTACGTCAAAATTAGCATATAGACACTATATTAGGATAATGATGTACTTTTTGTAACATTGAGACCAACTTTATGGAAGAGTTGTGTCTGGAAGTTTTTGTAATTACCAATGAGGTCATTCATGATATGACTTTTCAGATCATTATTTTTCTACAGATGATATGTCTCTGGTTTTACTGACCCTGTGCCAAAGACCTTTATGTGAATATGCTCATGTAATCTTTACTCTACCCCGAGGAGGGTCGACAGTTGGTGGCCTGTGCAGTTAACAAAGCCAGGAAGCCAGGACTGCTGGGCTCCAGGGCCTGCTAAGGTCTTAACTGCTTGGTGACAGATTAGGGTGAGAAGTTCTGGGCTTTGGGTTGCCCTGTCTTTTGCTTGCGTCCCTCTTCAAAATGTACATTTTAACACATTAACTTTTTTTCTGAAAATAGTTAAAATCCATATCATCTGGTGTATTTTTTATCATCTTCCATGTTAAAAGTGAAAATCAAATTTTATTCAGAAAATTTTATTAACTACAAAACATCCTTGTGAAGCTTTATTAACTTAAAACTTTTTGCAAGTTTGAGAATATTCATGAAATGCTTTCTGCTTAGAAACAATTTTTAACTAAATGCTTTTTCTACTATAGTTGATGCTGCCTGAGAGTCATTATTAATACCTACGTGCTTATGTATTTTCGTAATCTTGCACCTCTCGTGGTGCTTGACATATGGTAGGTTATTCAGTACCTGTCAATTTGAATTTAACAGGGTTTCTGTAGCTACCTGTACTAGAGTTACTTTTGATAATATTAGCAAACTAGAAGAGTGGGCAGTTGGTTGGTTTGTTAAATTAGCCAGGTTACAGAAAGGACTATCAGTTTTCAATACTACATTTGTATCCTGGAGATGGTTTAGGGCATAGAAAATGGAACAATCTTATGGCATGATCTTCACCACAGATATTTCTAAAACTTAACAGTTGTTTGTGTGTGGGAATGGTGACTGTTACACAAAGGTGTCTAAGTAGGAGTGGTTTTTAAAGGCTTTGCTTATTTTCCGTGATCTGTGCACTTTAAATTCTGCATAGTATGCTATAGACACCTTTATGTAGGGAGAGTTTAAATCAGTGGTTCTTGAAGGGAAAGACCATCATGAGATTCAGCCCATGGCCCCTCGTTTCAGAATCCCTGGTAAGGGGAGCCACTGTTACTAACAGTTGCATTGTATCCCTCCAGTGTGTTGGGACAGGAAAAAAGATTGAGAAGCATTGGGTTACATGGTTTGTTTTAAAATCTAATTATGGCATGAGTTCCAACAGTGACAGGACATACTGTACGTTTTCCCCAGTCTTCAAGTAAGCAGAATATTTTTTAGGCGGCTTGTATCTCAGTGCTCTGATGTTCACTTGTGTTTTTGCTTGGTTGTGTTTTACAGGAACAAAGGAGAAATAGGCTAGCAAGAGAATTACCTTCAGCTGTATCACGAGACAAGGTAAAAAAAACGATGTTTTTAAAGCATTCTCTCACTAAACAAAGATGGATTGCTAAGCCTTAGAGTATTACTCTTAGGAGTAACTTTTATTCTTTTCTCCCTTTAATATTCTATTGGGGCTATTTCCTTGTTTGAGTAAAGGTATGCAAATATAAAAATAGGCTTTGAGTAATTAAAGATAATTGGTATAGTTTACAAAGAAGAGGCTGTAAAGAGGGGAGGAGGGTTGGGGAGCTGGGTGAAAAAGGTGAAGGGATTATGAAGTACAAATTGGTAGTTACAAAATAGTCACAAGGATGTGAAGTGTAGCAAAGGGAATACAGCCAGTAATACTGTAATTACGGATGGTGCCAGGTGGGTACTGGAAATATCAGGAGTGGCGGGTAACACTTTGTTAAGTATATAATTGACCCTATGTTGTACACCTGAAACTAATACAATATTGAATGCAAAGTGCAACTGAAAGATTAAAAATTAAAGATAATAGTATTTTTAATGCATACAGGTAGATTTTAAGTGTCCAGCCTTATTTTTTATAAAATTCAGCAACTTTATCAATTTTGTAAACGACTGACTTTATTATATAACAAGAGGCTGTTTTGGAGAGGGAGGGAGAATAGCAGTGTGCACATAGCAGGTTTATAATACCTGTAATAGCTGCACACGTTGTCTCTGTGATTAAAAACCCATTGCCTCGAATTCTTTACCAGAAGAGATTCTAAAAGTAAAAATGAAGTTTTGGGGTTTGGATTTCCTTAGATACCCATCTGAAGAAAGCCTTCGACAAAGGTGGCGTTAGTATAGGAAACAAGGCAGCCTGAACATTAATTTTATGTCCCGTGATTACTTTTGTTTTTCATGTTACTTCACTATGATACAGAGGGAAAAATTCACATTTATAGTATGTTTCTGAATGCATTTTGGCATCCTTGATTTTTTTCCCCTGCATTTTTTGCCTTTAGTCTTCTAAAGTTCCAAGTGCTTTGGCACCTGCCTCCCAGGAGCCCTCCCCTGCTGCTTCTGCTGAGGCTGATGGCAAGGTCTGTTCTGATTCTTAATCTAAGCCTGCATGCCTAGGTGTTTGGTGCTCCGTGATCATCTGGAAACAATATGCGGAATAGCAGAATATCAATATGGGCTACATATAACAGTGTGTACTTATACATTTTTCTTGACATGCTTTTGCTTACAATATAAAAGATGCACTTAGAAAAAGAAGTTAAAGAGGAAATTATTCTGCAGTTTTTGAATTTCAAGCCATTGATACTGAAATTTTGCTTTTTAAACCGCATGTTTTAACATATCTTTTAACAGTTAATTCAGGACAGCAGAAGAGAAACTAAAAATGTGAGTCTCGTTTCAGAATGGCAATGTCAGTACCTTTGGTTCTCACTGAGACACTGTTTTCAAAACCATTCAAGAACGTGTCTGTACAGTGGTATCTGACTCCTTGTCTCTGTTGTGTTTTTAATGTTTGTGCTCTAACTAACCCCTGTATGAAGGCATTAATTCTAGTTTTAGCATTGTTTTACCTAGTAATAGGCCTTCCCACTGTTTTCTGTTACATTCAAGAATAGTCACAAATTTAGTATTTTGGTAGGGAATTAAGATTACAGACGGAAACTGTACTTTTGGACATTTCCTCTGTAAAGGTTCTGAGATCTGTCTGTCCAGTACTAATGGATACTCCCCTCAGGCTTCTCTCTTCTGCTTCCATTCAGTTTGCACTTGTCACTCTGTATGTGTGTAGCTTAACGTGAGCCTCAATAGCTTACGCACATTAATGCAAATGGAGGCTGTGAGAATTTGGGACTATTGTTAATTCTTGATAACCTTTTCAGGGGAAAATAATCCGTAAATTTTTCAGACCTATTCTTTTGGTTTTTCTGCCATTCGATTTAGCTCCTTTCCTTATTGTCCAGATTTAAAGTTCTGAACCTTGAACAAAATCTGATACATGTCTTACCTTCTCTCAGCCCACTGTGCTCAGATTTTAAGAGAACCATTTAAATAGTTGCTTCAGTGTTTTCACTCATGGCTTCACCCTGCATTTGCTTACTTTCCTTAAGACTTCATGTTATGTTATTCATGTGAGTTACCAGGCATTTAAAAATTAATGTGTAAATATACTGCCTATATTTAGGTAAAGCTCATCTTAACTAGCAAATTGAGGCCAGAATGATACCAAAAAATGACATTTTTAAACAACTGACATGATACTGTTCTGTGAAGTTTATGTAAGCCATTTTCATTTCTACCCATAAATTTTAGATGTGCTGTTTATCCATTTTAGAGTATAAGATCTTAAAGAGCATCTGGTCTCTTAAATGTTGATGAATTACTGTTTTCTCATTATCCTGGCTTCCCCCCACTCCCAAAGAAATCAAGACTACTAGATATCTTAAAAAAGGAGATGAAAAAGCAGTCTGATTAGTGGTAGCACTAGATTTCTCCAAGCAGATGGTTTCTCTAGAGATATTGAGGGAACTTGGGTTTATTTCACATTTTAGGCAGTTTAAAGTCACCATCAGCCTAAATATCATGAGTATATATATTTTTATTTCTTTTATTGAAAAGTTTTTTACCCTATGATTTTTTTTTTACTAAATGTAAAGTAACTTGAGTTCATAGAACTGTTGGCGACATTATAGTTCAACAGTGTTTAAGGTTACTTTGAAGAATTTAAGATGAGCGGTAGTTCTGTTTTTCCTTGTGCTTGTAATGAGGAATCTCATTTTTAAGGGCATCTTATACTTTTTCTACAATCTAGTGTTAGAGGGTTTGGAAAAAAGGAAAAACTTTGAAAAGCAGCAAATATTAAAGAAGAAAGGAAATAAATAATATTGGTGGAGGCCTCACAAACATTTTATAGTAGAATCTTTTAACTTAGTTAGCCCAGGGTTGCAGCTGTACATGCCACCCCATCTCTTTCCCTGTCACAACTCCTGCTGGGTACTAGATGTTCTCCTTAACCTCTGTCAAAAGAAACTTTATGTCTAGTTAGATTTGGTATGGTTGATAGAGATTTTGGAACATCTGGTTTTTGTTTTTCAGGTTGCATCTGGAGGTGGTGGGGTTGGAGATGCTGTTCAAGAACCAACAACAGGCAACTGGAGAGGAATGCTGAAAACTTCAAAAGCAGAAGAGTTATTAGCCGAGGAAAAGTCAAAACCAATCCCAATTATGCCAGCCAGCCCACAAAAAGGCCACGCTGTGAATCTACTGGATGTGGTAAGCCATGAGGATTTGGCTGAGGACTAGTAAAGACAACCAAAGTACTAGGAAAACACTACAAAAGATGAACTAAAAAGTAATATTTTCCCCCCTCACTCTACTTAGCCAGTTCCTGTTGCACGAAAACTATCTGCCCGTGAGCAGCGAGATTGTGAGGTTATTGAACGACTCATCAAATCATATTTTCTTATTGTCAGAAAGAATATTCAAGACAGGTTAGTGATACAAAATAAAAATCAGACTATGATAGTGCTGGATGATTCTAAAATCTGCTTTGAAGTAGCATTTTTAAAACTTTAGGTTTTTATTTTAAAGCAAATGGATCATCTTATTGTTTTGTTTTGCAGTGTGCCAAAGGCAGTAATGCATTTTTTGGTTAATCACGTCAAAGACACTCTTCAGAGTGAGTTAGTAGGACAACTGTATAAGTCATCCTTGTTGGACGACCTTCTGACTGAATCTGAGGACATGGCACAGCGCAGGAAAGAAGCAGCTGATATGCTAAAGGTATTGTTATTTAAAAAAATTTTTCACATTTGGGTTGTAGATATAAACATCTGTATTTTTAAAATACACTCTAATCTTTGGATACAGCTATAGTCTTCATATGATGGTTAATCTTTTTTTCTGTTTGTATTTTACTAGATTCAGGATAGATAATGGTTAGTATAAATCAATCATATACTAAAGAAGAGAGATTACCCCACATATTCAGATTCTTTAATATTATAAATATGAATTTATGATTTTTATATTTAATGCAGGCATTACAAGGCGCAGGTCAAATTATTGCTGAAATCCGAGAGACTCATCTTTGGTGAAGAGAACTACGTAACACCAAGACTTTGTTGAGTTGAAAGTTGCTAGTTACTGCCTACTTGAGTAGATTTTTATTTATGAACTCCTGTGTATTCCAATGGTATGAATCTGCTCACATGAAGACTGGCTATAAACTGAAAACTGTACTGTGTATTACAGAATGAATTACACATTTAATCCAAATAATAAATGGCCATTTCTAAAGTTTTCCAGTATATATAAAATATATCAAGTCTGTCTTATGACAGTTCTGTTTGAACTTAAAAAGAAATGTTAGTGTTCTTGTTGTACAAGCAGTCTGCCTGTGGATGAGATGACCTGTGTGACCTGTTAGTCTTCGAGCTGCTGCTATAGTCCTTCGAGAAGAACGCACCGAGACACTTCATACAGCTGTACTGCATGCACTGGGTAAACTGGCCTGGCTTTGAAAGATTGGGGTCAACGAGTTACTCACATAATCACTATATTCCACCTGTCCTTGGATTTAGTTTTGTCTCTGCAAACTTTGATGTGTTAGTAAGAAAGCTGGATACACAAGAGGATCTGTAACTATGACAATGATGCAGTGTGCACACTGTGTAGCTACACAGCCCTACCACGCCTGGGTCCACATTACCCCAGTGCATTAAAACATATTTGATTCTTAAACCTGAAGGCATGAATTACATTTTTCTGTATTAAAAATAATCATCTAGACTTGATCATCTAGTAATACTTGGTGATGACTAGTTCCTTTGGTTTTTAGAGATTCTAAGAGAAATTCCCCTTGGTTTTCAAGTGTAGTAGTAGTTCAGGAACATCTTTGAATTTTGGAGCACTCACACCATGCTCCAAGATTCACTTGGAGGTGGGACTTACACTTCTATTAACTGTATCTTTTCTCTTTTACATATTAGTTGGTAATAGTTCCTTTTGCTTCACACCAGTAAAATACATTAGACTAGAGATGTGAAGTTATGGTGGAGCCTTAATTTAACAAAAAGTCATACAGGCACACACTCCTAATGGCTTATAGACTACTAAATTGCATTCTGGGGTTTGGGGCCGAGGTTTAGAACAATATATATTCAATTAAAATTCCTCAGGTGATTCTTGATATATGTTACAAATTTTAAGATAAGGGTCAAAATCCTTAAGGAATCTAGTTCTGTCACTAGCCAGTAACATTAAGTAAACTGTATACTGCAGATACTAAATTTTCTTTTTAAGTTACATCAATTACTGGCAATATGAATATTGGCAATGAATATTGGAATATTACTGGCAAAGACTACTGGCAATATGAATATACCTGTTAACTTTAGGTTATGGTACCCATGTACTAAGGAACAACAGGCTTACCAACTGATCTCAAACATAAAAAACTGGATTCAGTCTGATATGACACGGTACTCTGAATTGGTTAGTAAGTAGCACACTTTGCCATCATTAAATGTCAACTTTGAAATTATAGCCACCCATGATTTACTTATTTTAAACAGATCAGATGACTACTATTTTAGCCTTTTGAATTTATAGGGGGGAAAATGCACCCTTTAATGCACCTTTCTCCAACATATCAAATAGATTTCCAATCAAATGTTACCTTTAAAGATAATGTACTTTCTGGCACTACATACCCTGTACAAAGAAAAACGGGCAAGAAAGGTATGGAAAGAATACCTTTCTTGGCCCTTCAACTGAGTGAAGTTCTGAAATGTGGAGATGATCTATGACATTTAAAATGGATACTTGTATGTTCTTGCTGTGTAAATAAAATCGCTGGTATGAAATGACATTAAAGTTGATCAGTAAATGAATTCTTCCTAACTTTAGTCCCAGAAAAAGGTTCAAATTCTATCTTTTTAACATACAGGTTTAATAGTTTATATTGTATAAAAGTTTGATGACTTTCTTATTAGACTCTTTAACAATTCACTGAAGTACTGTATTTTGCTGTGTATAATGTGCAGTTTTTGAAGGAAAGATAAGAATGCACAGCATTATACCCGTTATTCATGGGCATAACGATTTCGTAACATGGGAATAATCCATGTATAATGTGCACAAAAGTGTGGGTGTGCATTGTACATGGGTGTATGTTATACATGGCAAAATACAGCATTATTACAGGTCCGTTTTTGCATGTGAAGACAGTGACTTGCTCCAAGTAATCCAGGTAGCAAATGCTAGAACTTGAACATTAAAGCCATGCTCTGCCACCTGTAAGGTTTTCTAGGAGAAATTTTATTGCGAATCATTTGTTGTCAGCCTTTCCTTGATCCTCAGGGAAATCGGGTGCTATTACCTTGATTTTTCATGTGGCAACAGTTCTGGAGATTTAACTTTACGAATGTCTTAACCAAGGAACTTAACCAAGTCTTGATAACCAAAACCTTTATTTTTTTTCCCAAATCCTTTAAATTTGACCTGAAAACTTCCCTTACCAGGGTACCTTTTGATATGCTCATGTAATTGGAGAGTTGGTAACATAATGGCCTCTCTTACTTGTTTGGTTACTTAAGTTTTCGGTTTATCTCAAGTTGCAATCTGCTTGGGGAAAAGAAGTTGAAATTTAAAACTAATTTAATTTAAAAGTTTCCAAATGTATAAAATATCACTACCTTTGTAATCTGGGAAAAAAAAAAGGTTGTGTAAATTTAGTTACACTGAAACACAGGTAAGGGAGTGCAAACTGAATCAGAAACTTTCTGAAAAGTCAATGACTGACTTTAATCTTTTCTTCAAAAAGAAACTACTTCTATTGTAGTTTCTCATTCCAGTTGTGTCTTTATGTAGCTATTCTCCTTTATAAAGAGAGCTCTATTTGCTTCCTAAACAACAACAAAAATCAGTTTCCAATACTGGATTTCGCATTTCTAAGCTAGAGGCACTGCTGGTTTTAGAACAATGTAGACACTAGCGAGATGGATCAGACGTATACTTGATATATTAGTACCTGCAATTCCACATTCTACCTTTTTCATTGTTCCTCTTCATGTCCAAAAAGGAGAGCAAGTAGGATAGGATTGGAAAGACAGCATTTACTTTTTTCATGATGTATAATTTTTAAAACAGACTGACCCTGGAAATCAGTTTTTGATAGTAGTCCTAAATGTTTAAAGATCAAGCAATAAAATATGCTATCATTACATAAACTTAATGACCAACCTATGTAAATAAAGAAATTACTCACAGTGAGGCTAGAGTATACTCCATTCTCTTGATTTGCATAAGTGAAGGTATAAGGTCTGGAGCCAACCTTTCCCATGTCTTGAGAATGAATGACGGATCAGTCTGAATCAACAGAAGAATGTTTCATCATAGCTGAAGCCATTTTATAATGTAGAAATTCCGTTTTCCTATTTTAAGTAACGAAAGTCCATTCTTAAGAATATGTTGTCCAACAACTAAAACGCTCTCAGGGTTCGTTACTTGTCTGTGATTTATACTGACTCCGCCTTCTGTTATCATCCGATACCTAAAAGTAGAAACGTTTAGTAACTACATAAATCCAGTCACTGTTGATCTCTTCCTACAATAAGATACATCATTACTATATTTCATTTAAATTTCAGAGGTTCTCCAGTTGAAACCTATAGCACTAAACCTGTCTTCACATTTACTAGCTGTCTCCCTTTAATGCTCTTCTAAAGAACAACTTTAAGGCATAATAGGTTTCTTGGTTGGTGGAAAAAAGAGCTGGGATATCTGTCAGCTCTTGATAGAACTGTTCAGGGGATAGTGGTTTAAAAATGAAGTGAATTGGAATAACGGAGGACCATTTATTTTCTGGAGGGTAAAATCACAGAAAAGGAAATTCCAGGACAGTGCTGCTTTTAATGATCCACCCATAAGATACAAGTCACAACTACAAGTCCTCATTGATACGTTCCTGGAAACTACGAATTTAAGTGAATCAACATGTAACAAAACCAATTTTACCAGAGTTCCTGTGGCACATTTCTGGTCACTTCTAAATAAAGAACCCAAACACTACTATGGAATAAATGTGAACTACACATTTAAGATCAGTTAAAACAAGATGATGATTTTTCCAACCTACTAATTCCAGCTGTGTGGCTGGAGCTTTTCCCAGTAATGCAGAGTACAAGGCAGGCACCCACCCTGGACAGGGTGCTGGTCCACTGCAGGGCACACGCCCACTCACACCACACACACACTCACTCAGACTGTGACCAGGTAGACACTCTAGTTCACCTAATGTGCACGTCCTTTGGGACGAGGGAGGAAATGAGAGAACCTGGAGAAAACCCACAGAGGCATTGGGGGAATATGCAAACTCCCCACAGTGGCCCTGGCTGGAAATGTTTTTTTCCTCACGAACATTACAACGAAATGACATTATCTGAAGATCTGCTGTTACACTGTTATCTACAGAAATCTTTAGGAAACTTGCTTATGAAACTGGAAAATCCTTTCACTTACATTCTAAGTCTATGCAAAGAAGGGCAAACTGGTAAAATACAAGAAAGCAAAATTTTTAGCTAATTTCAGAAATGGAAAATCAATCACTGATCTAATAAATTCTAGATCACTAACAAAAGTTTTTGATGGCCTATGTAAATAGGTTTTATTCAAGTTATCAAATTCATTCCGCAAGCATTTACAGAGCCCTTACTATGCATTTAATCTAACTAGAGCCAGACAAGTGAACAGTTATGACAAACGTATTCAGTTCTGTGAAGAGCTATGAGAGGCTGCTCTAGGAGCACACTGGGCAGGTGGGGGGAGGGAGGGGTAGAAAGTAGGGACTGGAGATTTTCTTAAAAGAAGAGGCACTGAAACTGGGAGAGTGAGTCGCAGTTATTCCCACAAGCAGGAAGTGGGAACAACGGGAGCAGCTAGAAGTGGGTGAGATTTCAGGAGAAAGCTGGAGCACAAGAGGCCTTTCCGTCTGCAAGGCAAAGGTTGGTTTTCTCCTATGTTACCAAATAAAATTAAGAAATGACTACCAGACATAGTTTTAGTTCATCAGTAAAAGATCTGATACTTAAGGACAGACTTGTTCCTCTTAGGAAGTGTTATTTTAGGCTGTTTGCTATAGTTTCCAGATGACATTCTACATTTCGTTTAAATGCATAAACCAACCTTACCAGCTTACGCAATCTAAAAAATGCCAGTAGTACTGATAACTCTGGCTAAATCAGATGCAGTGTCATCTTAAGTAGCAGTAAACTTTGGTATTAGTAAATAAACCACTAGAACAATTCAGAAGGGAAGAAAAATTTTTTAAACTTCTACAGTGAGGAAAATTCTTAGGATCACTGACTCACTGTGGGGAAGTGCATGATAACACCCTCAATTTGGTGAAAATTATGTAAACTAGCATATTAGGAAATCAATAAAGTGCTGTGGACAGAGGCAAACCAAAAGCAATTGGAAAGAAAACCAAAACTACAATGGAACATGTCTTTCCTAATCATGAGCACACCCTGGTAACTGACTCATACAAGAACTGTGGATGAGGGGCCGAGTGCCTTCTGGCTCACTAATGCTTCCCACTGTTTCATTATAAATGGATAAGTGCCAAATACAATGCAATAATATCACACACCTGAAGAATTTAGATAGTCTGCCTGCTTCCTGAATAAGAAAATTCACAAGAGAAATAACTGTACACAGCGTGTAGTAATAGTCTTAAGAAGTTATGTTGTATGCTTACTTCATTTTTAGAAATTCAGCTAATATTTTAAACAGGTTGGACAACCCCTCAGCTCCCCCGCAAAATGAGGATAAGAACTGCATATAAGCGAGTTCCTGTGACTCTACTCAGGGCCTCTGTTCCTGTGATCTCCCCAAACTGTGACCAGGCCTGAGCTGACTGACCCCGGTATATTTATTAAATATACTGACCCCTTACATGCAAGCCTTTTCTAATGTTGAAGGAAAAACTGGGTTAGATTTAATAAGACTTCATAGAAAATTTAAGCTATTTTCAGCAATAAGTAATCTCACTTTTCACTTTATGCTCAGACTAACCTAACTTCTGAGAGGACTGAGACGCCATTAAAGCACTCTTAGGAAACCACCATCTTAGGAAATTGCTGTGAATTGTAACATTTAATACTGAATTAACTGTGAATCTAAAGTTACATAATCTTACCCCCGGGGACCATCTGGAATGGCATTTGCTTTTCGACATGTATCTAGGACGCTTGTTCCAGGGTCAAGAACTAATTCAGAAAAGGAAGCTTCTTTAAACAACTCTTTTAACTCTTCATCAGACATGACCTCCAGTGCATCTATGCTGCTATGATAAAGGGCTTGTGTACACCTGCAAAACAGTGTGAGAAAAACACGAGTGCTTGCTTATTCAGTACATGTCAGTAACCAATTACAAAGTGTCCAGTATGTTCTAGACAAAAAGTTTCTGAAACAGCTACATTCATCTTGTATAATTTATAAATTTAATTCAGGGTCCTCTTTCCTTACGGTAGAGAGGGGCCATTTTCAAGCAATTTAGGCATACACCAACAGTCCTTGTTAGTGGTAAAAGACAACTCTAAAGCAGTGTGGCTCTAAATTTTCTCAAGTCTATCAACTAAATAACTTCACCAAGTGTCAATTATTTGACAAGGCCACCTTTTAGCGGAATCCAGCCCTTCCTGTCCATGAACGAGCTTTGTGACCTCTGCAGCCAATCTCTTCTGAGGACCCCGCTTCTCTGGCTCTTTGACGTGCTGCTGCATGATGTGCTCAATCTCGGGGAGCGGTAGAAAAGTGAAGAGCTTCAGGTACCTCCAGGATGGAAAATAAAGAGTGACTTGTATCACATGCCTAATTTTTATCTCCCACTTCCTTTACTTTTAAATTTATTTTTGTGAAACATAACAAATATGCAGAAACATACCACATGTAAGACAACAAACATGCCATCCAAACTGAAGATGTTACTGCTTTGCTGTCCCTGTTTCAGATCTTTTAAAAGTCACAAAAGGCCTCGGGCCCATCATATTCTCCTTCCCCTCAGAGATAAGCACACTCCCTCCCTGTCTCTCTACCAGTGACCTTGCTGTGTGGCCATCCAGGACATATGGATAATAAATCTTGTTTTTCAAAATTTTCTGATGGTTGTTGCTTGCTAAGGTGTGTCTGGGATCACAGTAAGAACTACAGAGGCCAGTCCAGCCACAACGTTAGCTCTGGTCGAGCAATGTCTGTGGAGCTCCCCACAAACAGTATGGGCCCGGGTGAACTGCTCACTCATTTCTAGACAGCAGCATCGCTATCAAGAGGCTGAGACCCATACCACAGTACGTTTACTTTCAACAACATTTGGTATTGCCAATTCTGTTTAGTCATTCTGCCAGGTATAAAAATGGCATTTTATTGTGCCTTTATCTTATATTTTTCTTCTTAATTGAGTAATCTCTTCCCTTGTTTTTGGCCTTTCAGATAGTGAAGTGCCTGTTCAAGTCTCTTCTCAATTTTCTACAGGGCTGTCAGTCTTTTTCTCCTTGGCTTACAGAAATTCCTTATATTAATTTGAATATAAACTCTTTATCAATTAGTTACATGTATTGAAAATATATTCTCTCACCTTTTTTTTTTTAAAGTCAGAATTTTTTTTTAATTTTTATTTATTTATTTATCTTTAGAGGGGAAGGGAAGGAGAGAGGGAGAGAAACATCAATGTATGGTTGCCTTTTGTGCGTCCCCCTGATGGGAACTGGCCTGCAGGGAACTGGCCTGCAACCCTGGTATGTGCCCTGACTGGGATTTGAACTGCGATTATCTGGTTCGCAGGCCCGCGCTCAATCCACTGAGCTACACCAGCCAGGGCTCTCTCACCTTTAAAGATGAACATTTGAGGAACAGCAGATCTTAATTTTAAGTCAGTCTCATTTATCAGTCTTTTTCTGTGTCCCATATTTAAGAATCTTTTCCTATCCCAGTCATGAAAATAGTTTCCTATTTATTTTCTAAAAGCTTGTCTTTTGTATAGATTTAGGTTAATGTCTTAAATAGAATCTAAGTTTAAGAAACTCAAAACACTATGAAGTGTACAGAGATATGGAGAGGTTCAATAATAAAACATGAGCTTATGAACTTAATTTTCCTCAGCACAGTATTAAGAACTCACCTTTCTACTGAATGATCAGGCTGCCTGACAAAGAACTGATACAATTCAAATGGAGATGTGTTATCTCTGTTTAGCCAAACAGCATTGCCAGCAGACTTTCCCAGTTTTGCTCCAGTTGTACTTGTAATTAGAGGAAGAGTGATTCCAAATACATCTTCTCCAGTCAACCTATGAATGAAGAAAAACTTCATTATGTATTTCAAGCACAGGTGGTGGTAGCTTCTACTCACTCTTCAAAGTTAAGGCGGTCTCTTGCTCTCCTCAACTTCTGTGACTTCCTACACCTGATTCTTGTCCCTATTACTGCTTCCAACAGCATTCACTCTATTTTGGCATTTGTCATTCTGAACTGCAATTAAACCAGTGACTCTGGGCAAGCCAAGGAGAACTGCGGTTTAACTAAGGCCTAGAAATGTTTAAAGGCTGGGTGGTTGAGAGAGACCCAGGTACATGGGGAATCAGGTAGACACTAAAAAGATAACTTAAAGGGATTAAATAAATGAGTACCACATCAGCTAGCCTTGTGGTTCATCCCTCTCAAGAAGATGCCATTAAAACCTGTTATTTGCCAAATATTTGGAGAAAAATTTTTGAGATGCCATTTCCTGCAGATCTCTGGAATACGTTTCATACCTAACACTTTAATTCAGCCTTTTACTTCTAATTAGCCAGTTATAATATTAACACCATTACGGTCCCTTAATAGGGATAAAACCAAGAAGGGCTTGAACGATGAACGTCATTTCACAGTCCTAAAAGTGCATCACCAGCTAGTCCGTGCGTAAATTATTTGGTCCCAGGATGTCTCCTGGATTTAAAGACGCTTACTTGTTGATGAACTCGTATCCCGACATGATGTTGCCCAGCTGATCAGATCCACCCAGCTGAACCCGGCATCCATAACGCTGGAACAGGTAGTAGAAATCATAAGCCTGGAGCACCTGGTATAAGAACTCGCACAAGCTCATGCCCTCCGGGCTCTTAAGCCGAGTCTGGACGCTCAGCCGGCTTAGCAGCGTGCCCATGCGGAAGTGGCCCCCCACTGCTGCTACGAAGTCCACGAGGTGCTGCTCCTGGTACCAGGACGAGTTGTCCAGCACAGTGAAGCTGCCCCATTTACGCCCATTAGTGAAGAGCTGCTGGTGATTCGCTGCCAGAGTCTCGAGCCCTAGGCGTAGGGCGTGCGCATTGCTCCTCACGCGCTCTGCGTCCAGCGCCTCGCGCTCCTTCGTGCGGCCGCTCGGGTCTCCCAGGCGTGCCGTAGCACCTCCCACTAGCGCGATCACGTTGTGGCCGGCTCTTTGGAAGTGAAACAGGCCCAGCAGCGCTAGCAGGTGCCCCACATGAAGCGAGTCCGCCGTGGGGTCGAAACCGCAGTAGATGGTCTGGGGAAAGTTGGCCGCCCTGCCACCATCGAAGAGCTCTGGGAGTTCTATCTTCGTACCTCTCTCGGGGAAGAACTCCTTGAACAAACCCCGAGCCTTCTGCACCGCCAGCAACCCCTTAACGCCCGAGTGGGCCTCACGCAGCCCCAGGGGCAAGGCTTCCAACGGGCCTGGGGTGCAGAACCGCCGACTCCGAGAAACACACCGCAACATGGGCGCCGCCATCTTGATGGCGGCCCGAAAGGAATGCTGGGATATTTGTCACGCCGTTTAGCGTAGGCATCCTACAAATTGGTTCCGAATTAGCCTCAATGTTTTGGTGCGCATACCCGGGTAGAGCGGGCGGTTACTTAGTTACGGAGCTGGCGTTCTAGGCAGTAATTGGAGCTCTGCTGCCCAAGGAAGGATTTTGCTTCCTGTCCACTCACTTTAAACTAACATTTAATTTTTATCTGTAATGTAGGTGTTTATTATTATAGTTTCTACATCATAGGGCTGTTGTGAGGATTACGAATTAAAAGTACTTGGCACGGAGCGCGCTATAAATGTTAGCTTTTGTTTAAATTTCCACAGTTATGATGCGCAAGTCTTGTTTCTACGAAAATTTGTCAGCAGAGCCTGTGAAGGGTTAGGAGTTAGTTTGATTTCGTGGAGAGGTACGGAGTAGGCGCTGAGGCGCGAATTTCCTAATACTGATTCCCCAAGCGGATGAAAGCACCTCGGTCCCCAGTATTCATTAGCTTTTCCAGGAGGTGGCAGTCTTGTCCAATTAAAGCGAGAGAAAATTCGATATACTAAACCAGAAAGCCGTATGGTTTATTTTAAATTACAGGTGAGCAGGTGGGCATGGCTTTAGGATAAGTGGATTCAAATTAGTAATCACGTTGCCATAGCATTTTGCCAGGTGCTATCAGTACTCCACTCAGTAGGGACATTGCTACTGACAGCTGGCTGTTGGGGAATCAGCTCCAAAAACCCGTAGTAGAGCCTTATTTCTAGCACTACTTTCAATACCAATTCTTTTAGATTGAGTTCCTTGGGAAACAGACTCAAACTAGAAATTTGTGTGAGGGAAAATTATTGGACAACAACACAGTGATGGAATGATGGAAGCAGAGTGGGGCAGAGGGAGAAATTGAACTGTGAAAAATCTGCAGTAGGTGTCTCAGTGCCATAGGGGGCTCTGGACCTGGGATTTCCATTCAGTCACTCTGAATTGAGGCAAGGTGGCAGGCTTTTGCACTCTATTATTAACCAGTCATTAAATGTGGGACGCCCCTAAGGAAGGAGGCAGAACCTTGGGCAAGGCTTTAGCAGAAGGCGAGATGAGGAAGAGGACACAGCTGTGAGCCATCAAGCACCAAAATTTTCATCAGCGGGGTGACCTGGTTCTTGAGCCTGGACCATGCTCCAAACCATTTCCCACAGGACTTTTTTTTTTTTTAAGATTTTCTTTATTTATCTTTAGAGGGAAGGGAAGGAGAGAGAGAGAGAGAAACATCAATGTATGGTTGCCTTTGGTGTGTCCCCTGCTGGGAACTGGCCTGCAGGGAACCTGCCTGCAACCCAGGCATGTGCCCTGACTGGGAATTGAACCGGAATTGTCTTGTTCGCAGGCCTGCGCTCAATCCACTGAGCTACACCAGCCAGGGCTTCCACAGGACCTTTTCACTTATTAATATTATAAAGTGATTTAACAAAATGAAATATTTAAAAAATTTGTTTCTTTGCATGTATAATTATTAGTGAAGTGATTTATTATTGCCAAGTAGTCCTTTCAACAGGATGTTTAATTGGTTATTCTATAGGCTATGTAACATTATCCCAAATGTTGAAGAAAATAAGCAGGGTGTATTCCATCTCTTATGTTGATATTCAAAATATCTTATAATTTGCGATTATAACCTGATTATCTGCAGCCTTATTTCACACCACTTTGGTCAGGGACATCCTTCAGTATCTGTGGCCAGGACCTCTCCGAAGCACACAGCAAATGGTGCTTTTTGCTCAGTGCCCACACCCAGGAAGATTTGAGCATTTTTATTTTTTATTTTTATATTTTATTTATCTTTAGAGGGGAAGGGAACGAGAGAGGGAGAGAAATATCAATGTATGGTTGCCTCTCATGCGTCCCCTGCTGGGAACTGGCCTGCAACCCAGGCATGTGCCCTGACTGGGAATCGAACCTCGATCCTCTGGTTTGCAGGCCCACACTCAATCCACTGGGCTACACCAGCCTGGGGAACTTGAGCATTTTTAAGGGAGTATTTTTCATCTTTGAGTTTCTGGTTAATACGACAGATAACTTATCTGTGGCTTTTACAAGTATGTTAGTAATTTTATTCCAGCAAGTATGACTTCATACTGTGGTTTAATCACTTCATACTTTTAAATACTTCATACTTTAAATACTTTCCTTTATAGAAACATGTACCTATGTCAGCATTACTTGATGCACCCATGCCTGATGGAGAAGAACTTCTGTGCAAAAATGGAAAACTTGTATCTGACATTAGAATTTATTGTAAGGTCTTATATTGCAGCCTGTTACAACCACTATGGAAATCAGTATGGAATTTTCTCAGAAAACTAAAAATGGACCTGCCTTTTGACCCAGCAATTCCACTGCTAGGATTATATCCTAAGAACCCTAAAACACCAATCCAAAAGAACCTATGCACCCCAATGTTCATAGCAGCACAATTTGCAATAGCCAAGAATTGGAAGCAACCTTGGTGCCCATCAGTAAATGAATGGATCAAAAAATTATGCTACAAAGCCCTGGCTGGTGTAGCTCAGTGGATTGAGCGTGGGCCTGCAAACCAGACAATCGAGGTTCGATTCCCTGTCAGGGCACATGCCAGGGTTGCAGGCAGGTTCCCTGCAGGCCAGTTCCCAGCAGGGGACCCACGAAAGGCAACCATATATTGATGTTTCTCTCCCTCTCTCCTTCCCTTCCCCTCTAAAGATAAATAAATAAAATCTTTTAAAAAATTATGCTACATATACACAATAGAATTTTATGCAGCAGAAAGAAAGAAGGAGCTCCTACCCTTTGCAACAGCATGGATGGAAATGGAAAACATTATGCTGAGTGAAATAAGCCAGGCATTGAAAGACAGATATCATATGATCTCACCTTTAACAGGAAGCTAAACAACAAAACAGACAAGTAAGCAAAATATAACCAAAGACTAAAATAGAGAATAGGCAGACAGTGACCAGAGGGGAATGGGGAGGGAATTTTAGGGGAAAGGGGGGAAGGATTTACAGGAATTAGTATAAAGAACACGTGGACAACAACTAAGGGGGGTGGAAATGGGAGAGAGGTGGGGAGCACTGGGGGGGTGGGCTGGGATGGGAGTAAAAGACAGAAAACTGTACTTGAACAACAAATAAAAAAAATTTATTGTAAGGTCTTTATAAAAATAGACCAAAGTTCTCCCTGGTCTCTTCTTAAGTTATATCACGAACGGATGAGAAAGTCTGGCAGATAAACTAGTACTTGGCACATAGCGCACTACAAACATTAGCTTTTGTTTAAAATTCCACGTTACAAAATTGTGATGCACAAGTCTTGTTTTTCTAAATGAGAAAAAACTTGCTTGGTCTCTTCTTAAGTTTAGTTATATTGTGAACAGGTAACAAAGTCTGGTGCAGAAGTTAGTATCAGAGCAGGTTCCAAAAGACTCGACAGTGGCTCAGTAACAGCAACAATTATTTTCCTTTCATGACCTGTCATGGCATAGCAGGGACTACGAGGCTTTGTCCAAAAGACAGGAGCAGTGGAAGGAGGTGGGACTTTTAAACCTTTAGAATTGTTGACATGGCTTAAATTCTGTTGGATTGGACCCAGGAGTTGAGTTTTGGGGGCAAGAAAAGGTGCACAAGTTGCTTCTTGCTGTTTTTATTGTCAAAAGTGAATGAACAGGCGCTGGCTGGTGTTGCTCAGTTAGCTGTGTGTTGTCCCACAAACTGAAAAGTCGCCAGTTCAGTCTCCAGCAGGGCATGTGTCTAGGTTGCAGGAACAACAGATAGATGTTTTTCTTTCACACTGATGTTTTTCTCCCTCTCTTTATCACACCGTTCCCCTCTCTCTAAATAAAAACGAATAAAGTTTTTTAAAAAGGTAAATAAACAGGGTTAAAAAGTACTTTAGAAAATATGGTTTCTCTCAAAAGTGGTAACTTGAAGTTAGCTGACTTTGAATTAGGGGCACATCTATTTTGCAATTACCCTATGTATATTAAAATGTCACATAAATATTCACTCTGATGAATAATCCCTGGTTTCCATGGTTTAGTGTTCGAAATGTGAACAATTATAAACATGCAGGACCACCTTGGAGATATTGGGGGTTCAGTTCCAGACCACTGCAATAAAAGCAAGTATTGCAATAAAAATAAATCACACGGATCTTTTTGTTTCCCAGTACATGTAAAAGTTGTGTTCACACTATACTGTAGTCTCTAAATAAACAATGTACCTACTTGAATTTAAAAATACTTTGTTTACCAAAGAACACAGATGCATAAGGCACAGACAAAGACAACAGTGCAGTGAGGCCGGAGGGAAGAGGGGCTGAGTGGAGGTTGGCAAAGCGGGGAACGATAGGGATATCTGCAATAATGTCAATAATAAAAGAATAAAGGACAAAAAATTAAAAATACTTTACTGCTAAAAAACGCTAACCATTTTCTGAGACTTCAGTGAGTTGTAATGTTTTCAATTCACTGAACCACACCAGCCAAGGCCATAGTTGTAATATTTTCACTGGTAGAAAATCTTCTCTTCAATTTGTAAGAAAAACGACAGCTATAAAGCACAATAAAATGAAGTATGCCTGTAACAGCATTCAAAAGGCACAAAAAGAGTAAATATTAATAGTGTTTTAATTGATCTCTCACAGGTTATGCCCAACAGTTTAAAGATAGGCAGTGGCATGGACACCGGCCCGCAGTGTCCGTGGTGTTACTGATGAGACGAGATACATTTACACGGACTGCCGAGTTCTGTGGAGGAAAAGGGACGGCACGGCTACTCTCTCAAGGGGAGAGTGCCCTGACCCTTACCTTGATAAGCTTTTATTGGCTTTCTAATAGCATCCATCAAAGAAGGTTTTCATTCATTATCCTTAGGTTTGCTTTAGGTAATTACTTTTTACAGATAGCACCAGAAGGGATGTTACTGACTACTTCTTACAGATTAACAAGGAAAAAATGTTGCGAAT